ACAGACCTCCAGAAGTTCGTAACCAGAGGTACCACTGTACAATACTTTGAATACTTGCTGACCTGAGGAACTGGCCTGACTGCCCATGCTGTATGTGCTCCTCAGGTGCCTCAAGCCTTGTGTGATGGTTAGACTGGCAGCAGATACCATCACCTCACCAACATCTGGAAAGATCAGCTGTCTGGCCCTTGCTCTGCTGCTATGTCCACAAGCCAGGTAAATGTTCTCCCCCATACCTGAGGGGACCATTACTGTCTTACAATTACTAAGAAAGGAGTATATCTGCAGTTTGGGGGACTTACCCAAACTTTATTGCCCTCCTGACTAGTTCTGATTAAAATAATAAAGAATGCAATGAAGCAATAAATAAGTAACAACCATACCAACTCCTTAAAAACACCAAAGAAGGCAAAACAACAACAACAACCTATGTCCACCCCCAGACATTCTGCACATGAAAAAAATTCCTTCCCAGTTCTATAAAAGTACAGCCAGCAGATGCCTGTGGTAAACCTGACATTGAAGGAGGAAGGGTTGGGTGTTTGACATGCTGGCCCATATCAAGGCCAAGAAATGTGGGGAGAGGCCTTTATAGCCTTATACCCAAAGCTTGCCCGGAAATCTTGCAGAGCAAAAGGTTGCATTCCTGGCCCTCCTGAGATCCCCCTCTTGTCTCGCAATGATGAGGAACTCCTGGCCACTGCAATACAGTGGTACCTCGGGTTACATACGCTTCAAGTTACATATGCTTCAGGTTACAGACTCCGCTAACCCAGAAATAGTGCTTCAGGTTAAGAACTTTGCTTCAGGATGAGAACAGAAATTGTGCTCTGGTGGCACGGCGGCAGCAGGAGGCCCCATTAGCTATAGTGGTACTTCAGGTTAAGAACAGTTTCAGGTTAAGTACGGACCTCCGGAACGAATTAAGTACTTAACCCGAGATACCACTGTACTAGTCCCAGAAAGGCCACAGTGTATGGCATCAGGACCATCTTTCTCAGCTACTGCCTGTGGGATGTAAGAATCAGGTGCAGTCAAGCACAACATAAAAAGAGTAGACAGGAAGGTTGTCACAGTCCTCCAGCCAGAACTTCCTGCTTTCCGGGACTGAGACGAAACTTCCTATGTGTAACTTGAGATGGGCGTGGCCTCTCCTGAAGTAGAAAGAACCAGAACCACAGACTGGCGACCATCTTGGCTCTCTTTGGATCTATCAATCCCATCTAAACAACAGCACTACTAAGATGCACCCTTGGCTCCAGGCCAGGAGAAGATAAGGGGCGCTTTCTCTTATAAGGAGATAGGTAAAGGTAAAGGGACCCCTGACCATTAGGTCCAGTCGTGACCGACTCTGGGGTTGCGGCACTCATCTCACTTTATTGGCTGAGCTTCCGGGTCATGTGGCCAGCAGGACTAAGCCGCTTCTGGCGAACCAGAGCAGCGCACGGAAACGCCGTTTACCTTCCCGCCGGAGCAGCGGCGTAGCGTGGGTTGTCAGCACCCGGGGCAAGGCAAGTAATTTGCGCCCCCTAACCTGGGGCAAGGCAAGTAATTTGCGCCCCCTAGCCCCTAACCTGCCACCACCGCCAGCTTCTTCTTGCTGCTGCCTGGTCTGGTCTGGTGTGGTTCTCTCCCGCGCTCAGCGCTGCGCTGGGCGGCCTCTGCACTGTCCCTCCCCCAGATAGTCCCTCGCTCTCTCTCCGCACCACATGCCTGGCACCCACCCCCTCCACAGTGGGCGGCGACCCAGCGGCTCGGATCGGATTCGCACAGCCAGCACTGCAGTGAGAGAGAGAGAGTGAGCCAGGTAGGGGCAGAGAGCTGCGAGTGCGAGCGCGCCCCCCCCAGATGTTGCGCCCGGTGCGGCCGGCCCCCCTGCACCCCCCACGCTATGCCACTGCGCCGGAGTGGTACCTATTTATTTACAGTGGTACCTCGGGTTACATACGCTTCAGGTTACACACTCCGCTAACCCAGAAATAGTACCTCGGGTTAAGAACTTTGCTTCAGGATGAGAACAGAAATCGTGCAGCACCGGCGCAGCGGCAGTGGGAGGCTCCATTAGCTAAAGTGGTGCTTCAAGTTAAGAACAGTTTCAGGTTAAGAACGGACCTCCGGAACCGATTAAGTACTTAACCTGAGGTACCACTGTACTTGCACTTTGATGTGCTTTTGTACTGCTAGGCTGGCAGGAGCAGGGACCGAGCAACGGGAGCTCACCCTGTCGTGGGGATTCGAACCACCGACCTTCCGATCGGCAAATCCTAGGCTCCGTGGTTTAACCCACAGCGCCACCCGCGTCCCCATAAGGAGATAGTCACCACATTTAAACTATGTTACAACCTTTTAAGTCTGCCTTCTGGGAACCTTTGTGTGAACAGATGATTACTTGTGAGTAAACATTTTATACTTTACAGAAGACTGTGTAACGTCTTATTTTAGGAGGGATTAAACAGGAAAATACCAGGAAATATTTACAGAGACTCTAACGAGTCTGAGCAAGCTATTTGCTGTGTGTGTGTTTAAAAAGGGGAATGTTAACTCTGCTGATTTTGTTGACATTGTAAAGACAAGTTGGGATAGGATATCTTAGACAATATATCCTCGCCCGCATCCCTACACATTCCCACACTGCCTACTCTCTTCCTGATGGCAAATGGTGTGGTTTGGGGAGTCAATTTCTTGATCCTTTCCAAATGGGACAGATACAGAGATCTCTCTGAGGCACACACCTTTCCCACCCCTACCATCCGTCTAGACTCACAGAATTATAGAATTGGTGTGGGAGATCTGCAGTCAAAACATAACTAGCAAGCACAATGTTAGCTGATTTATGAAATAGGTTAAGACTATAGAGTTGTATTTCTGAATGGCCAATTCAGACCATAGAAATGTAAAAGGTAAAGTAGGCTTGGTTAGGTCATCCTCCTAAGAGTTTATCTCCTTCCTCTCTCTCTTCTGTTTGAACCATGTAGCTGATCACATGTGTGAGACTGGTGCTCTGAGCTCAGACTCTATGTTTGAGGATACTTCTCTGTATTTTGTACTCAAGAATAATCTACCTGTGTAATTTTTGCTGTAACGTTCAACGATGCCCGAATAAGACCTCAGTTTATGTAAGTAAAACATTTAAACTTACTTTATTGTGTCGTCTTTTCACTGCTAGAGGGGTACAGATAGCGGAGTCCCAGATTGAGCGCATGTAAGGGGATATTTAAAGGCCTAATAAACTATATTTCACACACTTCACAAATGCTGCATAGAGGTATATTTTTAAACTCTACTGGTTTGGATCCTGCCTTCTAGAGCAGCAGCAAACCCTTCAGGTATTTGAAGATGACTATCATGTCACCTCTCAGTCTTCTCTCCTCCAGGTTGAACATCACCAACTCCCTCAATCATTCCTCCTAAGTAAGACTTCTTTTCCAGTCCCTTTATCATATTGGTTGCCATCTGGATTATATATAATAATAATAATAATAATAATAATAATAATTTTTTATTTATACCCTGTCCTCCCCAGCCAAGGCCGGGCTCAGGACGGCTTACAAGCAATAATAAAAACAAGTTGAATGATTACAACTTAAAAACAAAATTAAAATACAACATTAAAATATTGAAACATTACAATATTAAAATGTAGCCTCATCGCAGGAGGAGAAGGAAAATAAAAAAGAAAGAGAGGGAGGGAATCGAATTCGCTCCAAGCCAAAGGCCAGGCGGAACAACTGTGTCTTACAGGCCCTGCGGAAAGAAATCAGATCATGCAGGGCCCTGGTCTCATGAGGCAGACCGTTCCACCAGGCTGGAGCCAGAGTTGAAAAGGCCCTGACTCTGGTTGAAGCCAATCTAACTTCCTTAGGGCCTGGGACCACTAGGGTGTTGCTATTTATGGACCTTGAGGCTTTCTGTGGGGCGTACCGGGAGAGGCGGTCCCATAGGTATGAGGGTCCTAGGCCGTGAAGGGCTTTAAAGGTCAAAAGCAGCACCTTAAATCTGACCCTGTACTCCACCGGGAGCCAGTGCAGCTTGAAAAGCACTGGGTGAATATGCTCCCATGGCAGAGACCCCGTGAGGAGCCTTGCTGCAGCATTCTGCACCCACTGGAGTTTGTGGGACAGCTTCAAGTGCAGCCCCGCGTAGAGTGAATTACAGTAGTCAAGCCTGGAGGTGACCGTCGCATGGATCACTGTGGCCAGGTCTATACACTATATGTTAGATCTGTATGTGTAAAGAACAATGGAGAAGGTTTTGTGACAATGAGACAGAAGGAGGAGAAAGAGAAGAGAGCCAAGAGAGAAAACATTTTGGGGAGCTGAGTTTCACTTTGACAATCTGATGTGGGACAGTGGATTTACTCCTTGTAGAAATCCTTAAGCTGTTTGCCTTCCTCTATGCTTTATTTGTATATTTGCAAATAAACCCAGCTATTACTGACATCTGTGTCTCCAGCGATCTCTCCCACCAAAGGGAAAACACTGCACCTATAAACATTTCACTGTTCTGGGAAGTTCCACAAGTTCAGGAAGGCAGTAAATGCTTCTGAACATCAGTTGCTGGAAATTTGTTGCATTCAAATTCTGCTTGTGCACTTTCCATAGGCTTCTCTTGACACCTTGAGACAGGATTTTGGACAAGATGGACCACTCACCTGATCCAGCAGAGCTCTTTTTGTGTTTTTAAGGAGGGAGGGTGTTATGTGCTGAGCTTGGATCCTAGGACAATAGGCAGGTAGGATCCTGGAATGCAACAACCTGATTGGCCTGCAGGAGCAGACCAATCAGACACCAGGAGGAAGTGAATCAGCTTATTAGGCCAGTAGGATCCTAGAATGCAATAACCGATTGGCCGGCAGGAGCAGACCAATCAGGCTCCAGGAGGGAAGCAGAATCAGCCAATCACACGGGACCCATTGTGTAAATAATGTATATAAAAGCCTGAGGTTGGGGGGGGGAATTCAATCACTGTTCCTTTGAGCTGAAATAAAGAGCATGAAATCACTACTTGACTCTGAGTATATTTCAGAGGGTTTAGCAATGAGCTTTCTCATTAGGGTGAAATTATTACTAGGAACAATGTAGGTATTTTAGTGATGTGTGGTGACTGTGGACCATTTAGCTAAGGTGCATCCTCTCTTCTTCTTTTTTTGAGAACCCTTCCCGGGCCTGGATGACATGTTATCTGAAGTCTGCTATGGAGAATGAGACAAGCAAGATAATTCCAGAGGGAAACAGGGGAGAATGAAAGGAGGTGGTTGAAGGGTATTCTTCAGCTTTCAAGGTCTTGACAGCTCCACACATGTGTACTCCAGATGTCTGCCCTTTCTTTCTAGCACCTTCTCCTGCAAATAAAGGTCGGCCGCAGAGAAGAATGAGCATGAAAACGGAAGATGCCTGAGTGAAACTCTCAGAATACTTGAAAAAATGTGGAGAGTCTTGGCAGAACGCTCAAGGTGAAGGAAAACTTGGTGCAACCACTCTGGCTCTATTTACAGAAGCCGGCCAGGCTGTTGGCTGATTCTCACTTCAACACTGGCAAATGGACCGGTGATCTCCACAGCACATGAGGGCAGCAAGCTAGCTTAGGAGGCGCATGACAGGTCATGCAGTGCATAAAGCTTTGTGAGTCAAGGACCCTCCACCTGCATAGGATTATAATAAGACACACAGACACGTTATTTTAGGTTAATGGGCAAAATTAGGCCACAACTTTCATTGGTTACAGCATGTGAGTAGTATTGGCTTAGGCATTGGATGAAACAGCAATACAAGACTCCACCCCGCTCAGCCGGGATTCATATCAGGGTTAACAACCAATGGGAGGAGCTTGTTAATGCAAATACAACTGGAAGCAACCCCATGATGTCACCGGGGGCCATGCCATGGCCATAGCCACTAGCAGGGCATCGGACAGGATCCACAACCGCCGGATTCCTCTAACGGAATACCCATATCCGAAGGAAGCAGGAACAGAATGAGAGAAGTGGGCTGCCGTGGCTGTTTAAGCGCATTTAGCCCCGCCCACCAGCTGATCCTATTGGTTGGCTGGGAGGCTTGGCTGCGGCAGCAGAACCAATCAGGGGGGCCCCCTCAGGAGGCTGCTCCCGCTCACAACCCCTCCCCTCTGGGAGGAGGAGAGGCTTTGTCCTGCAATACCTCACTATGGCTCACCACCAACCAGCATCTGCTACCTGAGACAGCCAGTCCCCCTGGCCATTGTGGGCAGATGTCTATTACGCCACCTATTGGCCAGGATGAGCAATGGTGACATCAGCTAAGAGCATAAAGAGAGAGGGAAATGATTAGGCAAGATAAGTCCCGGGCGGCAGGATGTAACCGGGACAAAACGACAATTCTGAGCATAAAGTGTTATAAGAAAACTACCTCTAACTCCGTTATGGGGTATCCAGAGCCCATACAGAGTCCCTCAGGAGATCTCTATCAGATGGAGATAAAGCAGAGGCCAGCCAGAGTACAGTGGTACCTCGGGTTACATACGCTTCAGGTTACAGACGCTTCAGATTACAGACTCCGCTAACCCAGAAGTAGTCCTTCAGGTTAAGAACTTTGCTTCAAGATGAGAACAGAAATCGTGCTCCGGTGGCGCAGCGGCAGCAGGAGGCCCCATTAGCTAAAGTGGTACCTCAGGTTAAGAACAGTTTCAGGTTAAGAACGAACCTCCGGAACGAATTAAGTACTTAACCCGAGGTACCACTGTATACTGAAAGCAAAACGGCTAGTAAACCTGATCTTTATTAAAGGAAATAAACTATTACAACAGGATCCCCACTCACCACACACAGGAGAGAGAACCCCGAACAATGGTGTGCAAGACCCTATAAAGGCTTTTGAAACTGCCCACCCTGTAGCCCAAGGCCACCCCCCAAAACATCATACATACATCACAGAAGGAGGTGGTCTCCAGCAGAAATTTGAGAGTGTTGCCTCTCCTGTCTGCCTGATAGTGCCTTACTTGATTGCCTTTTCTGGGTAGCCTGACCGTTTCTTTGAGATGGTAAATACTCAGTTCCTGAAATGCTTACGCATATTGCTCAGCTTAACAGATACTTGCCAGACTGTATTTGAAAAGGGAGATGTAAACCCCAACAGTCCAAAGACAATGGACTTTCCCATTTCCTTCCTGCTTGCTGAGAAATATTTGAGGTCAATGTGGGAGAGTCAACATGGCTTGAGGATTGTTCTCCTGTACTATTTCAGACACATGGTTTATATACTTATGTATGTGTTTGCCTTAGGGATGCGGGTGGCGCTGTGGATTAAACCACAGAGCCTAGGACTTGCTGATCAGAAGGTTGGCGGTTCGAATCCCTGTGATGGGGTGAGCTCCCATTGCTCAGTCCCTGCTCCTGCCAACCTAGCAGTTTGAAAGCACGAAGTGCAAGTAGATAAATAAGTACCGCTCTGGCGGGAAGGTAAACGGCGTTTCCGTGTGCTGCTCTGCTTCACCAGAAGCGGCTTAGTCATGTTGGCCACATGACCCGGAAGCTGTTGGGATACTGCCAGGGAGACAAAGTCCATCATGGCCCCCAAGCCGTGTCCGGACGTCCATCGATCTCCCGTAGACACGCAGTATCAGCAATTAGCGACATGAGCTCCAGAAATAGCCTGCCACATTCCAGAACTCAATGCACGCTCTGTCAGCAGATAATGCACAGCAAAGGTCGCACTCAGGAGAGCATTATTTACAAGTTTTATTCAGTGTTGATCAGAACAAAGAAAAAAATGACTGCCTGCTTCAGTGTCTCCAGACACAGAGAGAGCGAAAACAAAGACACAACAGAAACATCCTGTGAAACAGGAAATACGCAGACTCTGTGACTCACAAAGCCTGCCCCCTTTTAAGGTGGAACGGAAATATCCTAACATCCTCCCCCTTTCCAGGTAACTTGTAGTACCTGTGGTTCAACTCAATTGCAACCTCTGTACATAAACCTTAAGTTGTTCTCTGTCAACAACCTTAGACAACAGATCTGCAGGAATTTCATTTCCTGGCATGTAGGACACCTGAATGAGTCCTTTCTGAATACACTCTCTTGCACGATGTAGCTTAATCTGCAAGTACTTGGTTCTTTGCTTGCAACTCTCTGAGTTCAGCAAAGCCAAACAGGATCTATTGTCTTGATACACTTGTATAGGACATTTCACAGAAGCTCTGATGTCCTTAAACAGTTGCATCAACCATTCACAATCCATGAGTGAAAATGACAAAGCATTGAGTTCTGCTTCACAGGAACTTAGGCTCACTGTTGTCTGCTTCCTGCACAGCCAGTCAAACAGACAGTGGTTGTACATGTAGCACACTCCAGAAGTGCTTGTACTATCCGTGGTGTCACTTCCAAAACTTGCATCTGCAAAGATTTCAAGACCTCCAGTCTTCTGACTGGTGAATCTCAGCCTGTAGTGCATAGTCCCTTTCAAATAGCGGGCTATGCGCTTCAGAGCTTTCCAATCCTGAACAGTAGGATTGTTGGCATGTCTGCTAAGGTTACAGCTTACAGCTATGTCAGGTCTTGAGCATCTAGCAATGAAATTCAACTTGCCTAGAATGCATCTGTACAGTGTTGTGTCAGAAAACGCTTCAGCAGTACTGTCTACCTGGTAACCTGTCACCGTCGGTGTGTTTGCTGGGTTTGCATCAACCAAATTCAACCTGGTTAATACATCAGCAATTTTCTGTGTTTGGTGTACCAGAAAATTACCTGCTTGGTCCCTCTCCACCTGCAGAGAGAGATAGTTGGATACCTCACCAAGATCCTTCATGTCAAAGTGCTCCTTCAGCTGAGCTAGGGTGCTTTGGTACAAAGCCTGATTCTTCCAAAACATCAGAAGATCATCAACAAAACATAAACAATACAGTTTGTTTCGCCCCTCCTTCTTGACAAACACACATGGATCAGCTTTGCCCTGGTGAAAACCTAGAGAAAGCAATGTCTCAGTGAGTTTTGTGTCCCAACACCTGGCACTTGAGACCATATAAGGATTTCCGCAGTTTACAGACTATTCTCTTCTGTATCTGCATCCCATCAGGTGGAAGCATAAACAGCTCCTCCTCCAAAATCCCGTACAAAAAAGCTGTATTAATGTCATGATGGGAAACATGCAGTTTCTCCTCCGCAGCGATCTTGAGCATCAGCCGAATGCTCTCATATTTGACTGTGGGAGAGTAGGTCTCTTGGTAATCCTGTCCTGGTACCTGTGAAAAACCTCTGGCAACCAATCTGGCTTTGTGTCTAACTACCTTGCCATTCTGGTCTGTCTTGGCCTTGAAGACCCATTTGCTGCCAACCAGTGTCATTCCTGGGACTACCGATACCAGTTCCCAAGTTTGGTTCCTGTTCAAGGAATCAACTTCAGCCTTCATGGCATTAAGCCAAGGCTCAGCATCTTTCGAGGTTAACTCCTGAACCTCTTTGAAGCTTGAAGGTTCCCACACCTTCTCTGAGCTACTAAGAACAGCAGTTGCCGTCTTAGCAAACTCATCAGCAAATCTCTTTGGAGGTTTGCCCTTCGTCGCCCTTTCAGACCTGCGTACTAGACGCAAGTCTTCTGGACTCATCTCCTCCTTCTTAGGAGAAAAATGACCCATGGTGAACAGTGGTTCTTCCAGTTCATTGTCAGACGCATCAGATGGTCTGACTGAGGCCTTTGCGCTCTTGTAGTCTGCTGTGTCATCACTGTCGCTGACACCAGCAGCAGCACCGCCCACTGAGCTGGAATCCGAACTCTGATCATCATCATCATCATCATCATCCTCAGCTTCCTCAGCTTCCTCAACATTATCTGCATTCTTCACATCACCTTCATCCTCTTCTGGGTAACTCTGGAAAATTCCCACATTTCCCCCCCACTTAGGATTGTACTCAACACTCTCTGTGAACTTAATGGACTTAGAGTCAGTCATCCATACCCTGTATGCTCCTTTTTCGTACCCCATGAACAAACCATGTGCCCCACGCTTCCCAAGCTTGTTGCTTTGTGGGGTGTGTACCCACATGTCAGAACCAAAGATTCTCATGTGCTTGACGCAAGGTTTCTTACCAAACATCTTCTCGTAGGGGGTACAACCAATAGGTGATGACAGTCTGCGATTATAAGTGTAAACAAAAGTCGACAGAGCCTCCCCCCAATACTTATCAGGGAGATTGGCATCATGCAACAATGTTTTCATTCCTTGCAGCAACGTTTGATTCGCTTGCTCCGCAAGTCCATTCATCCATGGCGATCTAGGTGTTGACAAATCATGCTGGATTCCCTTCTCAGTCAGGAAAGCTTCAAACTGCTGAGAGGTGAATTCCCCGCCCCGATCAGTAAAGAGACAGCCGATACGCTTACTGTGAACATTCTCCAACCAAGCACAGAATGCCTTGAACCTAGGAAACGCTTGTGATTTCTGCTCGAGCATAAACACATGAATGTACCTGGAAAATGAATCAATTAGAACCATGAAGTACCTTGCTCCACCCAAAGAGGGCGCAAGTGGACCAACCAGGTCTGCGTGGACTAGCTGGTATGGCTTGGAAGCCTGCCTGCTAGACTCCTTGCCTTTTGGAACAACCTTCACCTTGTTCTCTGCACAAGATACATATTTCATGTGAAACTTACAGGGTTTGATGTTCAAACCCTCAACCAACTCAGGCATCTTGGCCAGTGCCTGCCGAGACAGGTGACAAAACCTTCTGTGTGCATCATGAATACATCCTGCATGAAGAACTTCGTTAGTTTGTGCAACACAGCAAGAATCAACATTAGACACAACAGCACCATTGTCATCATAAGTTATACAGAACAATCCATCTATAAACTTTGCATGCAAAATGTCCTCTTTGCCTTTCCTGATGACACAGACGCTCCTCTTGAAGGAAATCTCAAAGCCACGCCCATTCAACTGTGGGACACTGAGCAAATTGTCTGCAGCACCTGGAACATAAAGTACATCTTTGATGGTAGTGTGCAGACTTGCCAGTTTCACAGTCCCTTCTCCTGCAATTCGTAACGTTTCCGTCAGCCAGGTGGATCTCACCATCTTGAGGTTTGAAGGAGATAAAGAGATGCCTATCTTTTGCGAGATGGCGGGTGCATCCTGAATCCACAATAAATCTGGCCTTGGCCTTTGGAGCAGCTTTTGCAGCAAGCAAAACCTTGTTTTTCACCGGCGCGGGCTTTTGCTGCTTGCCTCCCCGCTCCTGGCCATCAAACTTGCCTTTAGCCTTTGGTGAAGCTGTGCCAGCAAACAAAGCCTTGTTTTCCACTGGCGTGGGCTCTTCACCCCCCTTCTGCTTCGGGCCATCTGCAGGCATCTTGCTCTGTTTACCTCTGCCCTTCCGGCCTCTGCAAAGGCGATGACCTTGGTTCTCACGAGAAACAGAGTTCTCAGCTGCCGACTCCTTGGCTCCCCCTGGAGGCTGCAATACTGCCTGGGATGACATCACAGTCAGCTCCCCCTGCAGCTTGCAACTTGTGCCCTCAGCATCCCTGCATTCACTCGCATTCTGGGAAACAGCCAGGACCTCCGATGCAGTCAAACTCTGGGCTGGGATGACTGGCAGATGGGCTATCTTCAAAGCATTCCACATCTTACGTGCAGTCACGTTGCCAGCAAGCGTTTTAATGTCCTCCAGAGAGATGGACAAGACTATTACGTCTATGGCCTTCGAATTCTGGGCCCTTCATCTATCTGTCAGAGGAACTGGAGGGGCTTCAGACACAGTATGCCACACTCCAAACTGACGCAGCAAACTTTCACACCATTTTGCCCAGGTCTCATAATTGTGCCGATTTGGGCACTCAGAAGCTTGGAAAAACTCCATTCCAGCTCTTCACTTGAGCCTTGATCCCTATTCACTTCAGAGACTCCTTATCTTGGCACCCATAAATCACGAAGCCTCTGGCGCAGCTTCCAGACCAATTAGGCCAGCCGGACATCAAAGAGACTCTGCCGCGGCAACGAAAAGCCTCACTTTCGCTTTTCCTCCACATACCTCTCAGCAGTCCGTCGCAGTCTTACTCTCCTGTAAGTGCCGTGAATCTGGGGCCATAACCTGTTGTTGGGATACTGCCAGGGAGACAAAGTCCATCATGGCCCCCAAGCCGTGTCCGGACGTCCATCGATCTCCCGTAGACACGCAGTATCAGGAATTAGCGACATGAGCTCCAGAAATAGCCTGCCACATTCCAGAACTCAATGCACGCTCTGTCAGCAGATAATGCACAGCAAAAGTCAGGAGAGCATTATTTACAAGTTTTATTCAGCATTATTCTTTATTCAGAACAAAGAAAAACATGACTGCCTGCTTCAGTGTCTCCAGACACAGAGAGAGCGAAAACAAAGACACAACAGAAACATCCTGTGAAACAGGAAATACGCAGACTCTGTGACTCACAAAGCCTGCCCCCTTTTAAGGTGGAACGGAAATATCCTAACATCTGTACACCGGCTCCCTCAGCCAATAAAGCGAGATGAGCTCCGCAACCCCAGAGTCATCCGCGACTAGACCTAACGGTCAGGGGTCCCTTTACCTTTACCTTTTTAACAACAACAACAATTTTATTATTTATACCCCGCCCATCTGGCTGAGTTACCCAAGCCACTCTGGGTGGGGGCCCTAAGATGCACTGTGGTCTCATCCCATTACACTTTGACACCCCCTCCCCTTATTTTTATTGTTATTAATACAGCTGCCTGGCAACCCAGCAGCCTGGCCCCTGTCTCCCAGCTGATGTCACAATAGGCAGTTTTGCAAGCAAGCATCATATTGCCCTGAGAGAGGGATGTCTGTCACTCTGATGGTGATACACTTGCCAAGGCCCGTGGTGCCCATAAGCGATAATGAGCAGGAACTGTGAAGGTAAGAGGAGTTTAGATGCCAGATTCTTGAACTGGGGGGGGGGGGGACCACATTCATTGGGAATGGAAAACCAGGAGGGGGTTGTGTGTCACAGGATTGTGCCTTGACTTCAAGGGGAACGCTGGGGAGATGGGTTTTGCTGCCACCCTAGCAGTTTGAAAGCACGAAGTGCAAGTAGATAAATAGGTACCGCTCCGGCGGGAAGGTAAACGGCGTTTCCGTGCGCTGCTCTGGTTCACCAGAAGCGACTTAGTCATGCTGGCCACATGAACTGGAAGCTGTACGCCAGCTCCCTAGGCCAATAAAGTGAGATGAGCACTGCAACTCCAGAGTTGTCCGCGACTGGACCTAATGGTCAGGGGTCCCTTTACCTTTATCTTATGTCTTTGCCTTGTACATTTATGAACATATATTCTATATCTGAAACCTGAGAATTCTTATAACAAAGGCACAGGGTCTTGAGAAGTGGCTGTCTGGACAAGGAGGGCTTTAGAGAACTCAGCATAAAGAGCAATGAGGCAACTGTGAGTTTGGATCCCAGCAGCAAAAGGGGGAAACTGGCAAATCTGAGCCCACGTCTCTCCCAGGAAAGCAAGTGAAGAACATGAAGCAGCATGAATAATTGAAGACTACTATAGATCCAAAATCCACAAAGTCCCAATTTTGAATTTGTTTTGTGATAAGAATTTTAAAGTCTTATATATATATAATAAATGTTCATAAATGTACCAACTAAGCACGTACATAAATCAGCACAGGAAGACCGACCTGAAACCATTTTTGATTCCCAAACTGACCCAATGTTTTCTCTGTAAGGTCAAAGGGAAATGGAAAAGCCTCCCCATTGTCTTTTCCTTCACAAATCCTGTCTTAAGGGTATGTCTGTCTGTGTTTGAATAGGGTGAGCCTGTGACCTGGCTCAGGAACTATTTATCATTACAAAAGACTGGCCAAGCTCCCCAGGGTATCCAGTCAAGTGAGCATTAACAGGTAACCTTTCAGACGAGATAAACAACGCACTCAGATTTCTGCTGTAGACCGCGTTTTCTGTGATGTAGGTATGATGTATCGGGGGGGGTCTTGGGTTACACCCCTACTGTGATGTATGTATGATGTATGGAGGAGTGGTCTGGAGCTCCAGGGCAGGGAATTTAAAATTTCTATATAAGGGCAGGCACACCTTTGTTCTGGGTTCCTCCTCCTTTCCTTTGTGTGAGGGGAGCACCCTGTTGCAACAGATCAATAAAGATCAAGCTTACTAGCTGCTTTGCTTCTCAATATTCTCTGGCTGGCCTCTGTTATTTTCTCCTACCAAGAGGGAACCTACGTAAGGACTCTATATGGGCTCTTGGTTACCCAATAAGGGGGAAAAGGGCAGATTTTTGTTTACAACACTTTCTTCTTGCAGGACCAGGCATCGGACTTCCCTTACCCCAACCCAAATAATAAGATACCAATGAGACTGGTTTGGGGTCAAAACAGGCCCAACTTTATTGAATACAGATGAAAGAGGTTTGGCTTGGGCACGGGGCAATCAAAATACTTCTGGCCCACCGCCAGAAGTGACGTGTGGTCAATCCAGGCGGGGGTTCCTAAGACTTACACCCAATAGGGTGACCCCCGCAGGGGCCACCGTCTGGGGGAGTGCCTTTGACTCTGGCCCCCCCCCCAGGCCTCGCAGATATGGCCACTCCCCTCGGATCCCTTTACTGGGATACTCCAGAGTTTGGAGGGGCAGGTGGAGACCACAACCTCCCCTCCATCCAAAACAAAGGATTGCCCCAATGCCCAGCCAGTTTTGAGGATTGCTATGAGGTAGGCAAAACCACCAGGTCAGTGCCAATTAGCCCAGTGGGCAAATTCCTACCCCGCCCCTTGAAGGACGGCGACCACCGTAGGCACAGCAAAGTCATTGACTATCAGCTTAAACCAGACTTCCTCAACCTCGGCCCTCCAGATGTTTTGAGACTACAATTCCCATCATCCCTGAGCACTGGTCCTGCTAGCTAGGGATCATGGGAGTTGGAGGCCAAAAACATCTGGAGGGCCGAGGTTGAGGAAGCCTGGCTTAAACCGAGGGTGGGCAGGCCGGGAAACCTAGCGCAGGAACAAACAGGCTGAGCTCCAGGTACTGGCTGCTTAAATAGGCAAGGGGGGGATCCGAGGGAAGCCCACCGTCTGCTCCAATCAGGAGGGGCACAGTCAGCTTGAATTCCCCCATTGGGGCCCCAGTGAAGCCTCCTCCATCCTGCAGTGCAGCCACACGAAAAGGATGAGTGGGCTTGGCCAGTGAATCCTGACCTGCCTGCTCTCACTGATCCATACAATGTTGGATTCAGCGGCGTAGCGTGGGTTGTCAGCACCCGGGGCAAGGCAAGTAATTTGCGCCCCCTAACCCCTAACCTGCCGCCGCTGCCAGCTTCTTCTTGCTTCTTGCTGCTGCCTGGTCTGGTCTGGTGTGGTTCTCTCCCGCGCTCAGCGCTGCGCTGGGCGGCCGCTGCACTGTCCCTCACCCAGATAGTCCCTCGCTCTCTCTCCGCACCGCACGCCTGGCACCCACCCCCTCCACAGTGGGCGGCGACCCAGCGGCTCGGATCGGATTTGCACAGCCAGCACTGCAGTGAGAGAGAGTGAGTGAGCCAGGGAGGGGCAGAGAGCTGCGAGTGCGAGCACGCCCCCCCAGATGTTGCGCCCGGTGCGGCCGGCCCCCCCTGCACCCCCACGCTACGCCACTGGTTGGATTGCATTCAGACTAAGTCCTCGGACACGACACCACCAAGAGAAAGCTTTGCTATGGAAATGGGAAAATGCTTCCACTACACATTTTCACATCAAAAGTATTTTGCAATGTTTTATTCCTGTGGTATTTGAGCAAGACGGCATTTCCATCCAATCTCAGAGGGAAACAAATGCCCAAATTATTGGCATTTCCTCACAGGGCGAAAATATTTCCCCACCCGCTGGGATTCTGGCCTTTAGCAGAGCTATGGATCCTTTTGTCCATGAGTCACTTGGAGACTTGGTGACTCACGAAGGCTGGAGCAGCCACAGGAATGTGCACCCGGCTTTGCAGAACAAACGCCAGAGAGTCGGTCTGAAACGGAGATGTGTTCAAAATCACAGGGGTGCTCACCAAATGCAGGGCTACAGGGGAAAGGAGAGGAAGAGGAAAGTCTTGTATGACTACTGATGTCACAAAGGAAAAGGGTCACAATTTAATCCCACAGCGTCAGCCCATTAGTCCTCACGTTTGTCTCAGAGACTTTGTCAGAGATGAGGATGGGTCATGGTGGAATGACTACGGATGGCACAGTTAAAGCAGATAAAGTCCTTTCCCCTTGTTTTGGTCTCAAATCTAGAATAAATGCTGATAACTGCACAAGGTAAACACACATACATAGGTATATAACCCACATGTCTAAAATAGTACAGGAGAGCAACTCAAAAGCCATCTTGGTTCTTCTAAAGGCTCTCAATATTTCCTCTGCCTCCTTAATCCCCCTTGCCTGAGAAAACGCAGGCAGATAGCAGTCAGGGGAAGTTCCTGAAGGGATTCTTCTCCTATATATCTATGAACCTCCTTTGTATTACAGTGGTACCTTGGGTTAAGAGTTTAATTCATTCTGGAGGTCTGTTCTTAACCTGAAACTGTTCTTAACCTGAAGCACCACTTTCGCTATCGGGCCTCCTGCTGCGCCACAGCATGATTTCTGTTCTCATCCTGAAGCAAAGTTCCTAACCCGAGGTAATATTTCTGGGTTAGCGGAGTCTGTAACCTGAAGCGTATGTAACCTGAAGCATCTGTAACCCGAGGTACCACTGTAATTGTCATTGTTTGCCCAGATGCTCTGCACTGAGGGAAGTCTGACAGGCATCCTGATTGTCTTATCAAATGCTAATGTTTTGTGTAAACTGTATCTGGAACTATGTGAAACTTGCTAAATCCTCAGGAATATTACACCTTGGCCTGCCCGAGTCACAGTAATTGGGGCAGAGGAAGGGGTGGGTGGTGGGTATGGGCCGCCCCGGGTGTCACCACTGAGGGGGTGTGTGACAAAACGCTGGGTGGCACTCACCGCAGGGCCTGTAGCACGCCTGAGCCACATGTCTCTCCTGGGAGAGATGTGGTGCCTTGGGCGTGTGCAGGCTCCGTGGTCTGCTTGCTGCCTCCCCCCAGCTGTAGGGTGGCCCTGACTCCGGAGGCCCTGCGGTGTGCCCCGCCCCTATGGGTGGCTCACCCCACCTCACCCTGCCCCTATGGGAGGCTCATCCCGCCCCTGGACAGGCTGCCCCAGGCGCCTGAGCGACTTCCTCCGCTTCTGACCGTAACCCCACCTTATGTGTGAGGTAATTTCTGACTGTTTGTAGAGGGGATTGTCTTCCTTGTCCACGCCAAAAGGCAAACCCTTCAAAGAGATGTTTCTTCTTGGTTCTAGGTTTCTCTTGCCTCCTTGCAAGGAGGCGAGGAAACTCTGCTGCAACAGAAAAACAAAGATCTGCCTTGCTTTCACTGCATCCTGTCTCCATCCATTCATCTCTGACCGATCAGGGACTTAGGGGACTCAGTCCCTTGGGGAGCTGGGCAGCAAAAGCCGAACACCCCTATTTTTCTATAGCACCCTTTATGTAGTCCATTTAAGGGGGAAAGGAACATTTAGGAGGCTTGCTCCAAGGTAAAAGGTTGCAGGTTCCCTAAACACAGCATGTCACCCTCTCTCTCAGCATGCAGATTATTGCACCTTTCCTGTTCTAAGATGGTTCAGAAGGAGGCAGGCAAGCAAGACAGACCTGGAATCATAGAATTGTATAGCTGGAAGGAACCCTGAGGGTCATGTAGTCCAACCCCTTGCAATGCATGAATCTCAACCAAAGCAGCCATCTTGCAAATACGTGGGTTTAAACTTGTGAAGTGCAAAGTACAAGTGCGGCATATCAGATGCAAAGAGCGCATGTTTGTAGAACATCAGTGTTTCGCTATAAGAATTTCTAGGTCTCAAATATAGAATAAGTCTTCATAAATGCACACATATCTAAATAGATGAACCACGTGTCTGAAATAGTATGGGAGAGCAATCCTGAAGCCCTTTTGACTCTCCCAATGACCTCAGATAATCCTCTGCAGTAAGGGATGCAAATGGGGAAAGCCTTCCCATGTTTTTTTTTGCTTACAAATCCTGTTTTAACAGCGTATTTCTGTATGAATAGGGTGAGTCTGTGACCTGAGTTCAGGAACTAAAATATTAACCATCACAAAAGAATGGCCAGGCTGCCCAGGTAATGCAATCAGTGACCATTATCGGGTATCCTGCAAGACGGGATTTCTGCTGTAGACCGCCTCCTTCTGTGATGCATGTATGATGTGTTTTTTTGGGGGGGGTGGTCTTGGGCTACAGGGTGGGCAATTTCAAGAGTCCATATCAAGGGTTGTCAACCTGGTTCGAACTAGTGGGCGTTTCAGGATTCTAGGTGGGCAGTAGGGGGTTCTACAGCACAAGCTGAATCCTCCTTCCATTGAGCACCGGTGGGCGGTAAGGAAATTTTACCATCAAGAAAGATGCATTAGTGGGCGGTAGGTATAAAAAGCTTGACTACCCCTGGTCTATATAAAGGCTTGCGCACCATTGTTCGGGGTTCTCTCCTTCCTCCTGCGTGTAGTGAGTGGGGACCCTGTTCCAACAGTTCCTTGAATAAAGATCATGCTGACTAGCTACTTTGCTTCTCAATATTCTCTGGTTGGCCTCTGTTATTTTCTCCTACCAATAGGGAACCCACTTAAGGACTCTATATGGAATACCCCATAAGGAAAAGAGAACAGTTTTTCTTATAGCAGTTTCTTATGATGTATTTGCTTTGTGATTGGTGCATGGAATATCTGTGGCCTGGGCAAGAGCACTCCCTTCTGACTTTGAAGAGCCAGGACTCCATCTGGGACATAATCTGCTGCTGAGATCAGACAAGCCTTTCCTGTTCTGGCACACTGAAGTGCACATTAATACCTTATTGACTGCCTATCTTTTATGTTTCATTAACTTGCAAAGGATTACAGTGCTGTTCACCATCCCGCCCCCCGCCTGAAAATCTTTGTATAATGAGACAGCTGTTGTAAATTATATTCCTTTTTAGTAAATTGTGTGGTTATAATGGGAAATTAAGCTACAAACCCTTGCAAGTTTATGACCTGCAACTGAATGCAGTCCCCTTTCATATTTTATAATATGCAACTTTCTTTTGTATATCAGACCTCGGAGGAGACAAAAATACTTGCTCGGGTCCCCACCACATGAAGGATCCCAAAACAAGTCAAATTAATTTTTTTTAAAAAATTCCTTACTTTTTCTGGCCATATGTAAACACCCCAGTAACATTACAAATTTAGTCATAAATCTGAACTACAGTTATCACTGTAAACCAATAACAACTGTGCAGATACTTACTATAGTGCTTTAAGTTAACAGTGATAATAAATCTGTCATAATCCCCATGGCAACCCACTTAGCTGCGCTGTAGGAGTCGCACGATGTTATTGATAAAATCTGCCGAACTCTGCTCTAGCTGAGTCACCACACAGAATACTATTTCCATTTTATTATAACAACTCTAGTTAAATGGTGATTTTATGTGGCAAGCCATATTTATTTTCCACAGCAGCTTTATTTTGTTTCTGTAACATGAATGAGGCCCCACGTCTAATACGGACAGGCCCTGGGCCCTGTGTAAGTTAAGAGAAAGCTGCAATCCTGTGCCCATGTCCTTAGGAGCAAACCCTGTTGAACATGCAATAAACATGCGCAGGTGTCGGCTGTAAGATGATTTTATTTTGAGCCAGGTAGAGTAACAGAGGGCTCACATGTGATTCCTTTTGACCCTCTGTTTTCCCTTGGGAAAACCTGTGGTTTAGCGCTGAATTGGAACAAATGTAGGGCTACCATATGTCCAGATTTCCCTGGACATTCCTGGGATTTCAAAGGCAGAAGTGACGTCCAGGAGGGAATTTCCAGAAGGCGGCATCGCATTTGTTCGGTGTTTTTGTGGGGGGAAAAGGTCAACAACTCTGGGGTTTGTCTAACTTTTGGGGTATCCTGGTTTTTTTACTTTTTGAAATATGCTAACCCTATTACAATTCTTTTTAAGCTCCTGTGAGAATTTATTGGCTGGGATCTCATCCTGCGCTGTATTCTTGTTTTGCTGTTGTTGAGAAGTTTTGCAACGTCTGTGCTTTTGCACTCTTCCATAAGCCAGCATGGGAAATTCCATTTGGCCGTTGACTGGCAGTGATAGGTTCAGGGCAGATGTAATGAAGTATTTCTATAAACTTGTTCTCAGTGGTATTTGGCCGGACGTTGCTGGAAACAGAAAGCTGGGGCTAGATGGATCTTTAGTCCAATGCAGCAAGGGAACTGGTATACATGGTATACATTTCAATAATTTTATAATCATTTCAACGTTTCTAAACTTGACTGCCTTTCCCCTCTTTCTGTGGTTCCTTAAATTTATTTTTAACATTTTCTGCATATCCAAATTAACTTAATTTGCTCATTTATTCATCTACTTTAAATATATCCTCTTATAAAACTGCAGGCTATTACAATAATCCCAATAATCCTGACAGGTTTCTCTGTGTGTGATGCCCTCCAGTATGATGCTTCAGGCTGCTGAGAGTAAGGTGGGTTATGAGCTCCTTATAGTGTGAGTGTGCATTATTCTCTTGGAAAATATTCAGTAGGGCCAGTTCTGGGGTGGGTTCCATTACCTGTTTGGTTATTTTGCATATTTCTTATAAGATTTCTGTCCAGAAGGATTTGGGGGCATTCCCACCACATGTGGCTGTATGTGCCTGTGGAGGTGCAGCGTCTCCAGCATTTTGGTGAGGTTCCGGGGTGTATCTGTTGGTTTCTATTTCCCTCACTGAGCAGCAACTGCAGTCAGAAGACATTGTTTTGCATTCCACAGTCAGAGTTACTGTTGGATTCCCACGGGAATGGGAGACTGGATGTGACGTACACTGGTTTCCTGTTTTTCACTGTTCTCTCGGTTTCTTTGTTAGAGAGACAGTTGCTTCTCTGCTCTCACAGAGGCAAGATGCATGTTTGTATTCTCTCAGCATAGAGTGAAATAAAGTTAAGAATGTGGCACATACTGCTTATCCTTCTGCTGTGTGGACTACTCTGTTTGGGCTCAAGATGTGACGAGCCTGTATCAGCTTCAGATGGCCCGAAGCTGGTCAAAATCTCACAGTATCAGTGCCAGTTTCTGTGGTGTTAGGTACCATCTGTAGGTAAGTTTCAAGGTGAGCTCCATTCTTTTGACTGAGATGGATTCAAAGGGAGGTTTAGACCACATTCTAGTCCATTGGGTAGGGTTCATAACCTATGTCGTGCTCCCATTGTTCTTTGATTGCGTTGAGGGGGTTTGTGGGATTTTGGAGAAGTATTTTGTATATTGTGGATACCATTCCCTTGCTGTGTCCCTCTGCTGTTAGGAGGAGGTTTTCAAAGGTGATCAAGGGCCTAGGTGTTATGTACTGAAGTTCTCACCCTGGGCCAGCAGGGGGATACTGTAGATAGTTCAGGTCCACATATGCAAGTAAGGGATCGAAAGTGACGTTCAGTGATTGGATAGTTATAGAAAGTTGTTACAGTTACGTTGTACTGGAGCTCTATATAAGCAGGCTGGCTGAACCCTTCAGTTCAGTTCTGTTCTGGCATGTGAATAAACAAGAGCTGTTTGAAGAATCGCTGTGTCATCTGATATGTTCACCCACCACTTAACACTAGTGGCTGCTGATTTTTACTGCTGGATTGTTTAAGAAGGCGTGTAGTTGGTGGTGTGTTAGTCAGGGTATTTGGGTATCCCCTAGTTTGTCTTGTATTCCTTGTGTTGATACGGGTTTGCTATTTTTGTAGAAGTCTGCTAGATGGTATAGGCCTTTGGCTTGCCAAGCTTTTACAGTGGTGCCTCACAAGACGAAATTAATCCGTTCCGCGAGTCTCTTCGTCTAGCGGTTTTTTCGTCTTGCGAAGCAACCCTATTAGCGGCTTAGCGGATTAGCGCTATTAGCGGTTTAGCGGCTATTAAAGGCTTATCGGCTTATCGGCTTAGCTGCTAAAAGGCTATTAGCGGCTTAGCAGCTTAGAAAAAGGGGGGGGAGCGAAAAAAAAATCTCAAGACTCGCAAGACATTTTCGTCTTGCGAAGCAAGCTCATAGGGAAATTCGTCCTGAGAAGCAACTCAAAAACGGAAAACCCTTTCGTCTAGCGGGTTTTCCGTCTTGCGAGGCATTCGTCTTGCGGGGCACCACTGTAATTTTCCCCCTGCCATTTATGGAGTTGGGTTGAGAGAATCCAGATTGGGAGGGTTTGGAATAGGTAGGTTAATTTTGGGAGGGTGATCATTTTGACCATGGCTATTTTGTCTGAAAGGGTGAAGTTGATGTCGTTCCATTTCCTCAAGTCTCTGTTGATTTGCACCCCTAGGTATCTGAATTTGGTGTGGCAGAGTTTTATATTTGTGATGTTGGTGAATTCCTTCTGGGTATGCGGTGTGTGTGTGTGTGTGTGTGTGTGTGTGTGTGTTGAAGCACATAACCTCGGATTTAGCAGAGTTCACCTGTAAGCCTGACACCATATCAAATATGCTGAGTTCTTTGATTAGAATGATTGCTGTGTTTATGAGATCTGGTGTCATGACAAAGAGCCTAGTTTATAGGTTTTACCTTTCATTTCCACTCCCTTGATATCAGGGGCAGCTCGGAGTCGGATTGCTAGGGGTTCCAGGCCTAGGATGAATAGGAAGGGAGCCAGTGAGCATCCTTGTTTTGTGCCTCTTTGGATTACTATGGTATTGGAGCCCATACAATTAATTCTGCATTTTGCTGAGGTAAATTTGTTTCCTAATTTGGAGAAAGCTGGGGTCAAATTACATGTTGGTAAATACTGCTATTAGGTATTTCCATTCCAAAAAAATCAAAGGCTTTGAGGATGTCCAGCAACCTAATCGTCAGTGGGAGTTTGGTTGTTTTGCTGTGTTTGATCAGATTCAGTAATTTCCTAATGGGATCTGTTATATTGCGGCCAGGGATGAAGCCAATCTGGTCTGGGGCTATTAATTGGCGTAGGAAAAAATTTAGGCAGTTGGCCAACGTTGATGTGAGTATTTTGAAGTCTTGATTTATCAATGAGATTGGGCAGTATGATTCTACTTTGAAACTATCCTTGAGTGGTTTTGGGATAGAGACTATTTTAGAGGAGGTCTAAGTTTTTATGAATTACATGTAGAATTCTGCTGCAATTCCATCCGGGCCTGGAGCTTTGTGTGGTTTCAGGTTTTTGAGGACTTGTTTCCAATTCCTCTGGGGTGATAGGACCGTCCATGAATTCTTGTTCCTCTGCAGTTAAGGTCGGCATAGTCAGCCCTGCTAGGAAATTTCTGATATCCTGCTCATATGGGTTGTGGGAGGTGTGGAGTAAAATTCAGTTTTATTCACAGCGTGGGTTTCTCACTCTAAGACAAAATTATAGGGTCAGAATGCTCACAGCACAGCAACTTGATTAGCAGACGCTCCCGTGGGGCTTCATAATCAAATATTTGTTCACTGAAATGGAATCAAAGCAAAGGGTTTGCGAAGTAAGTCCCACAGCGCACAATACTGAAATAACAGATGGAAATTTAACAGAATTGAAACATTCTTTCTGTGCCGAGGCCTCTTTGAAGTGTGCAATTGAGCTCAGCCAAGAATGAGGGGGAAATGGACAATGTCAGCAAAGCAGAGCATTGGCGCTTCCCAGAAGATGCGTATCCCAGCATGCACTGCTAGTGACCACTGGTTTTTCTGGTGCTTTCCCTGGGGTCCAGATCCCGGCACGCACTGTTGTTGAGCATGCCCAGAAAAGATTTCTCAGAGGAAATGCCGTGACCACACTCATGATTTAGATTGGCTGGAGTTCTATCATTCGGACGGGGTTTTCAATACAGCATTGCAATTTGGTTTTTTAGCAGAAAGGGTTTGGCACCATTTTGCCCCAGGAGATGTGAAACTGAAGAATTTAATATTTTAGCAAACCAATCTGCCGTTCTAGGAATTTGCCATTTAAAAGAGGGGGCGGGAGAGAGAGAGAGAGAACGAAGAATTCCAAAATCACCTAATTGATTCAGAGAAAGAACAGAAACTATACCAAAATATGGGGCGCCACCCAGTCAGAGTTATAACACTATTTAGTTCCCATTATGTCAATGAGATAATTAAGCAAGTCCCTCTTCCCTATTTAAACCAGCCGGATTTAAAAGTGCTTAACTTTGGCAATCAGTTGGGTGTTGTCAGTTCATGGTCTTAAAGCAGAAGACCAGAACGTTCTTCTGTCCAAGACAGAACAAATAGTTTTTAAGAAGTCATTTGTTGTAAGAAAGACATCTCTTCCCATGGTGTACATATGTCCCCCCCCCCAATTGTTGCCTATAATCATACAAGTTTTGTAGGTTTTTGAAATAATAATAATATAACTTGCTAAGCCTTCATGTGCAGTAATTCCTCTAGGAAACAGCCTTCAGTTCTCTGAAAAAAACTCATCAGCCTAAAACAAACAAATAAAACCTTCTTCTATAAACCCAAATTTTGCAGAAGAGAGTACCCCAAGTCTTTAAGTTTCTGCTTTGGGGGTATGCGATGAAATCTTACTATTGGCAAATATACAGTGGTACCTCGGGTTAAGTACTTAATTCGTTCTGGAGGTCTGTTCTTAACCTGAAACTGTTCTTAACCTGAAGCACCACTTTAGCTAATGGGGCCTCTCACTGCTGCCGGAGCACGATTTCTGTTCTTATCCTGAAGCAAAGTTCTTAACCTGAAGCACTATTTCTGGGTTAGCGGAGTCTGTAATCTGAAGCGTCTGTAACCTGAAGCGTATGTAACCCGAGGTACCACTGTACATATATACATACATATTAGGGAAATTACACACAAAATAAGGGTGAGCTCCCGTTGCTCGGTCCCTGCTCCTGCCAGCCTAGCAGTTCAAAATCATGTCAAAGTACAAGTAGATAAATAGGTACCGCTCAGGCGGGAAGGTAAACGGCATTTCTGTGCGCTGCTCTGGTTCGCCAGAAGAGGCTTAGTCATGCTGGCCACATGACCCAGAGAACAAATGCCGGCTCCCTTGGCCAGTAAAGTGAGATGAGCGCTGCAACCCCAGAGTCATCTGTGACTGGACTTAATGGTCAGGGGCCCCTTTACCTTTGCCTTTATGCAGTGGGTGGTGCCATGGTCTAAGCCACTGAGCCTCTTGGGCTTGCCGATCAGAAGGTCAGTGGTTCAAATTCCCGCGACGGGGTGAGCTCCCATTGCTCTGTCCCAGCTCCTGCCAACCTAGCAATTTGAAATCACACCAGTACAAGTAGATAAATAGGTACCACTGTGGTGGGAAGGTAAAAGGCGTTTCCGCGCACTTTGGTTTCTGTCACAGTGTCCCGTTGCACCAGAAGAGGTTTAGTCCTACTGGGCACATGACCCGGAAAGCTGTCTGTGGACAAACACCAGCTCCCTCGGCCTGAAAGTGAGATGTGTGCCACAACCCCCTAGTCCTTTGACTGGACTTAACCAGGGATCCTTTACCTTTTTTTTTTTTTTTTGCTATGCAATACCTCCACATCCCTCCCCTATATGCCTAGGTGATAGTGACAACAGCATCAACCTTTTATGTTTTAATTCTGTGAATGTTTTTAAATTATTGTTTATTTTTATGCTTTTTGTGGTTCTTATCTTCTTATGTTTACAGTGGTGCCCCGCAAGACGAATGCCTCGCAAGACGGAAAACCCGCTAGACGAAAGGGTTTTCCGTTTTTGAGTTGCTTCGCAGGACGAATTTCCCTATGGGCTTGCTTCGCAAGACGAAAATGTCTTGCGAGTCTTGAGATTTTTTTTCGCTTTTCCCCCCCTTTATCTAAGCTGCTAAGCCTTTAATAGCCTTTTAGCAGCTAATCCGCTAATCTGATAAACCTTTAATAGCCGCTAAACCGCTAATAGCGCTAATCCGTTAAGCCGCTAATAGGGTTGCTTCGCAAGACGAAAAAACCGCTAGACGAAGACACTCGCGGAACGGATTAATTTCGTCTTGCGAGGCACCACTGTATATGCAAGCCTCCTTGAGGCCCATAATGGGAAAGTTGGAGTATAAATAAAGATATCATCACCACCATAAATTTACACATTTGTCCGGATTTTTAGTTTTGGGGAAATGGCAAGCCTAGTTCCCAGGGGAGGATCAAGTTTCTCTTTGCTCTGTTCTCCTGATTTAAATCCCCTCTGAAGCTGCCTGCTATTGGGTGAAAGGAACATCAGGTACCTATATTATACAAGTCTCCCCTTCACCACTGCACCCCCTCCAGCTTTCACGATGCATGCCAGCTTAGGGGTGTGAGGGATTTACATGTGGGGAAATGGCACAAAGTGGTGGGGGGAAGAGTTTAACTCCCTCTCCTGATAGGGCCATGGTCCTGTTCTAAGCAAAAGACAATGGGAGACCAGTCATGAACCGTCATGGGTGCTTAGACACTTAACACTGTGGTTTCTAATAATTAACCATACATCTTGCTGCAGGGAGATTCTCATTTCAGTCATCTTATTGTTGTTAGGTAGTTTTCATTGGTTGCCAAGGGGAAAAAATAGGTATATAAAAGGAGAATTCCCTGAATGCCAAGATTTGGAGCAAATACTCTTTGTTGAGAGGACCCCGGCAGAGATTTAAAATCCCAAAACATGCTGCAAAGTAAAGCGTGGAAATGCAGGCTGTTAGACCTTTAAAATATGCCCTTTTTGGTTCCTTCCAAAATTCCCCTCTCCCCCTAGCATAGAAAAGATCACGTTTGGTAAGTTAAGAAATTGTTTACTTACAGACTCTCCAAAGGTCAGATCTATGTGCTTTTCTATACAGCATTCAGAAAAAGTTGCATAGGCAGTAACTCTTGGCTTGGTTACAGTGGTGAAAGGTCCTATATTATTGGTATAGGAGCTCAAAAGAGGCTTGTTAGAGCCATGCGGTCTGAGCTTGCAGCAACCAGCTCAGACCTCTTTACATGCTGAGCTTCCCAGGTAGATTGAAGAGCAAACGTTTGATTACCTTCCTCACAGGGTGTGGCGTGGGACACCTAGCTAAGCCTGCTGGGACAACTTACTCTATGGTGTTAACCCTTTCATGCATCCATTAGATGTAAGCATGTTGGTGATATGAGGCTTGCTATCCCGCAGTTTTAAGGTTTGGATTAAATTAGTGATATAGTAGTAAATAATGACATCTCTTAGCCCCTACATTAGCAGAGGCCACAGCCCTGCCCACCAGGAGAACCCAAAAATGCAGGCAGTTGATATACCCTAGAGAGCAACAATACATAGTACCCATTTTATTATGATCAGCTAACAGCCATAATCATCATCACTAGCTGGCAATGGGTGGTGTTGGAATGGTCACAGTGTTGGACTTTGGCTGTTGAAATCTAGGTTTACATTCCTGATCCACTGTTAAGTTCACCTTGGGCTAGTCACTGTCTGAGCCTAGTGTCGGAACCTGCGTTCGACCGAGTGACTCTTCCGGAACCGCCCCCCGACAATAACTCCAGGCACATTCCCCCATTCAGCAGAGTTTCTAGCACAGGGAAGAGACGAGAAGTTTGAGCTACATTGCTAGGTTTTATTACTAAGCTACGCAGACAGAAAAGAAATACACCCTCTCTCTGTGAGAGCAGAGAGCAACTGAAGAAAGGAACAGGAAACCAGTAACATCACATCCGTCACCTGTCTTCTGTGAGACTTCCAGCAGTCTGGAATGTGGGGAATGCAAAACAGAGTCTTGTGACTCCAAAGCGCTGCATAGTGGCAAACAGAAACTAACACCTAGCAAAGGGACCTTTTGCTAAACGAGACCTTTCTTCCAACACCCTTTGCCTCCCTGCTTACAACAGACAGCATGTGCTACCTTCAATAGATTACATGACCGCTCCTTGTGGGAGAAAAGTAGATCACTAAACTGCTGTTGTCTATGTAGCTTTCAGTGTTGTTTAGTCTGCAATTCTAAACAAAGGTGGAATCTAGACACATATTAAAAAAACATTGTGAAAATGCTTTTAAATACCTTTTAAAAAATACCTTTCCCACCCCGACCTGGCCACAGTGATCCATGTGATGGTCACCTCCAGGCTTGACTACTGTAATTCGCTCTACGCGGGGCTGCCCTTGAAGCTGTCCCACAAATTCCAGCGGGTGCAGAATGCTGCAGCGAGGCTCCTCACGGGGTCTCTGCCATGGGAGCATATTCACCCAGTGCTTTTCCAGCTGCACTGGCTCCCGGTGGAGTACAGAGTCAGATTTAAGGTGCTGGTTTTGACCTTTAAAGCCCTTCACGGCCTAGGATCCTACAGGACCGCCTCTCCTGGTATGCCCCACGGAGGACCTTAAGGTCCATATATAGCAACACCTAGAGGTCCCGGGCCCTAAGGAAGTCGGATTAGCCTCAACCAGAGCCAGGGCCTTCTCAACACTGGCTCCGGCCTGGTAGAACACTCTGTCTCATGAGACCAGGGCCCTGTGGGATCTGATTTCTTTCCGCAGGGCCTGTAAGACAGAGTTGTTCCACCTGGCCTTTGGGTTAGAATCAGTTTGATTCCCTCCCCCTCTTTCTTTTTCCTTTCTGTGGCTGCATCCTAATGTTTTAATGTTGCATCTTAATCTTTTAAATTGTATTTTAATCAACTTATTTTATTATTGGTTGTTAGCCACCCTGAGCCCAGCCTTGGCTGGGGAGGGCAGAGTATAAATAAAAATTTATTATTATTATTATTTAAAAAGTTTTGAAAAAATATATTGAATTTACCATAGCTCGCCATCGCCACCTTTTGTCACATTTGTATAATGTGCCTTACAACACACTTAAAATGTTTTATTTGCAGCTGTATAGCTGAGTCCAAACTTACTAGGGAACAAGCCCCACTGAACATAGTGCATTTTGTTTCTGAGTAAACATGTATAGGATTGCACCACTAATCTGACTTGGAGTAGTACACACTCAACTGATTATTACTATGAATCATTATATTTTTCTGGACTCCGGTGAGTAGTAGTTTTAATAGGAAGTCATAGAAAACATTTTGGTAGAAGTAGTGGGGGTTTTCGGTTAATAAAATGAGGTTCTGGTACTCACATCTTGATAAAAGTTGCCGTGGGTGTCAGCACAAAATGGCTACCATGAACAGCCAAAAAAGAGGTAACATTGCTCTGTATGGATGAGTACTGCCACATGCAAAAAAGCATTAGGTTTGAGGGGGGGAAACGTGTTTGTTGCTGGACTGTTATTTTGTGCAGAATATCTCTGGGCTCCATGTGGAAGGATTTGCCTGGTATATATGTCTCAGTCGCTTGGTTAAAGGAGAGTGTCTTTTAGCTAGTTTTTGAGGGGATACTGGCCTGCTTCTTTGGTCTGATTTGCTCAATATTTTTTTTTGTGGGCAGGGATCTGAGCACCACCACTTTTTCTTCTGTGAAATGGGCATTTTGTACTGCCCACAATAGCTTCCCAAATGCGCCCCTGGACACAAAATGTTGAAAATCTTGGCCTCAATCAAGAGTTGCATGACTTAACTGGCAGAAACTCATACGATTAGTCAACTGGGACTTCTTTGTCAGATGGCAGCCCCAATTTAATGCAAGAGCAACCATTTCCCATGTAGAAGTGAACCATAGCAAAACATTGGCATCAATGGCAAATGACAGATGCAAGCCAGCTCTCTGATTTCTAGTGGCAATATCCCTAGTCATGGCGGTGCCCCTGCAGCCTGTTTACAATTTCCAGGATTACAGCTTTCATTTTGTACCCGCGGTGTGGCACCATGGGCTTCATTTCTACCGCGACTTCTCTGCTCACAGCACTTGCAGCTGCAATAGACTGTGGGAAAATATTTCGTTTCCCCAAGAGATAGCATTAGGCATGAGCGGGATTCACGTGATTGGCCCCAGTCCACACATATGTCTCCAGCATTCAGATGCTTCTTAGTATGGAATCCCCTCAGGTCTTAAGACTGGCTGGAAGCAGGTAACTTTACCAGGGCTCCGAGAAAGTCTGAGCTGTAAACCTATTGCCACAAGGATATATTTGAAGCTGAATTGTACATCACGAGGCAGGACATACATTTCTAGCTATGCAGCGCGTCCCTATCTTCTGAGATTTGCTGGAGCCTAGTCTCCAGATGTATGGATGTGATGTGATATATGGAACTGAGCGCTGGACTGTAAAGAAGGCTGATCGCCGAAGAATTGATGCTTTTGAATTCTGGTGCTGGAGGAGACTCTTGAGAGTCCCATGGACTGCAAGAAGATCAAACCTATCCATTCTGAAGGAAATCAGCCCTGAGTGCTCACTGGAAGGACAGATCCCGAAGCTGAGGCTCCAATACTTTGGCCACCTCATGAGAAGAGAAGACTCCCTGGAAAAGACCCTGATGCTGGGAAAGATGGAGGGCACAAGGAGAAGGGGACGACAGAGGACGAGATGGTTGGATAGTGTTCTCAAAGCTACCAGCATGAGTTTGACCAAACTGCAGGAGGCAGTGGAAGACAGAAGTGCCTGGTGTGCTCTGGTCCATGGGGTCACGAAGAGTCGGACACGACTAAACGACTAAACAACAACAATCTCCAGATCTCACAGCAGCACCGTAGTTCATGCAGGGGCTGATGGGAGCTGTGAGCCCTAAACATCTGGAGGGCACCAAGCTGGAAAAGGCTGTTCTACTCTGACAGCCAGCAAGTATGCACAGCCAGCTTCAGGCAGAGGCATTCTTAAACATATGGCGAGTTGGTTGGTGTATTTCATTACTCTGGCCACTGACCACAGCAACTGCTGAGGCATGGGACGCAGGTAGCACTGTGGTCTAAGCCACTGAGACTCTTGGGCTTGCCGATCAGAAGGTTGGCCAGCATGGTGTAGTGGTTAAGAGCAGTGGACTCATAATCTGTTGAACCAGGTTTGCTTCCCTGCTCCTCCACATGCAGCTGCTGGGTGACCTTGGGCTAGTCACACTTCTCTGAAGTTTCTCAGCCCCACTCACCTCACAGAGTGCTTGTTGTGGGGGAGGAAGGGAAAGGAGATTGGTAGCCGCTTTGAGACTCCTTAGGGTAGTGATAAAGCGGGATATCAAATCCAAACTCTTCTTCTTCTTCTTCTTGGCAGTTTGAATCCGCACCACGGGGTGAGCTCCCATTGCTCTGTTCCAGCTCCTGCCAACCTAGCAGTTTGAAAGCACACCAGTGCAAGTAGATAAATAGGTATCGCTGCAGCGGGAAGGTAAACAGCATTTCTGTGTGCTCTGGTTTCTGGCACGGTGTCCTGTTGCTCCAGAAGTGGTTTAGTCATGCTGCCCACATGACCTTGAAAGCGGTCTGTGGACAAACGCTGGCTCCCTTGGCCTGAAAGCGAGATGAGCGCCGCAACCCCATAGTCAGCTTTGACTGGACTTAACCATCCAGGGGTCCTTTACCTTTTCTTACCTTTTACCTTGATCCTCAGTCTAGTCAATGCTCAGAACTGGGTCCTGTGGGGCTTTAGTCATTAGGAAATCCCCACAGTGTCCCAGTTACACAGCCCTAACTCATCTTTCCACAAGGAGAATTGCAGTCCTATTCCTAACACTCTAGTCTGATCGTTTTGGTCACGAGCAAAACAAGAAATTGCATTTTTAATAGTAGAAAGGAGCCCTTGCATCTTGTTAACATCTGCAGTTCAATCACATTTCTGGGCTAAAAGCTGCGGAATGCCTCAGCAGGACATAAATCTCACCGCTTGCCGAAGTTGCCATACATGGGATCCAGATGTGACTGGGAGAATTAACATTCACTTGTGACACGTAAGGGTGTCGGCAGCTTTGAGCAAACCCTAATAAGAAAGGATGCTGAACTAACGCACCATAACCACCCCTTTAAAGCCTGGGCTGAGGCATCAAATCATAAAGTTAGTAGTCCTGTCTCGGGCATTAGCAAGAAGCAGAAGGTGTTTTGAATTTTCCTCCAAAGTCTCATAACACGGTACTTCCCATGCACTGCTTACTTGCCTTGGTGTCTTTTTCAGTCTGCCAGGGACCTCTGCCGTTTTCTGTAAATATAAAGCAGAAGCGCTTCTCTTGAGTGATGCACACAATTTAATGCTAAGTCTCTTCCGTGACAAAGATATGACAGAGACTGATGAGAACTCCCAGCCCATTTGCCTTCCGCAGCTGCTTCTAAAATATTTACGCATGTACCGTTCATTTCCCACTGTGGCTACCGCCAGCCTGTCTTATCCATTGAGGCTAGTGGCGTGGGGCACCAGGGCGCCAGGTTCTGGGGGGCGCCAGGTGAGAATCTGGGGAACACTGAACGAGGGCGCTGAGTGAGCGATGGGGTGCCAGAAGGCTAAAAGGGAAAAAACCGAGCCAACACTTAGCGGGAGCGGCGCACACGCTCTCGCTTGCTCGGCACAGGCGCGCTCGCTCGGTGTGCTGCCTGCCATGGCCACCGCGGCACGAAGCGGCCAGCTGAGCTGGGAGGTGCCGCGTCCAGCCTCCGCCTCTTCCCCGCCGGAGGAGCCACCCTCCAGCCGCTGCCCGCCTCTTCCAGCCCTAAAAAAAGGTCAACTCTGGGAAAGGGGGGGGCGCCAGAGGGATCTTTGCACCACGGCACCGGATATGCTTAAGATGGCCCTGGCTACCGCAACCCTTTTCTGAGTGGTCTTTTCTTCTGCCATATCTCCAGATTCAGTTCAGGATACTTCTGCTAAAACCTGTTCTCCTTGGCATCAATAGAATTATCTCACCTACGTGGTGTAGTGGTTAAGAGCGGTAGACTCATAATCTGGTGAATCGGGTTTGATTCCCCGCTCCTCCACATGCAGCTGCTGGGTGACCTTGGGCTAGTCACACTTCTCTGAAGTCTCTCAGCCCCACTCACCTCACAGAGTGTTTGTTGTTGGAGGAAGGGAAAGGAGATTGTTAGCCGCTTTGAGACTCCTTCGGGTAGTGATAAAGCGGGATATCAAATCCAAACTCCTCTTCTCTTGAAGGCAGGGATACACAATTTGTGAGTTACCAACCAACCAATGCAGGCCACCAGTTATGTCTGGCAACTGGTAGGATAGTGCTTAGCTTGCTGTGTTTGAAATGGTCTTGGCATCGCCTAGTTGTTAGAGTTATTCTGTCTGTCACCCAGCACTGAGCTGGTTATTCTTTCCATACCCATTCAATCTCATGCTCCCTCTGCTGTTGGATCCCTTTCACGTTCCTGGATATCATCCGCAGTTTTGCACTGCACGCTTTAAATTTTCAAAATCGCCTAAGGCTCAGCTTTCAGACTGACCCCCCTCCAACCTGCCCTGCCCTTCTTTCTGGGGGGTATTCATTGCATTTTCTAATAATTTAAGTGCAATACTTAAAACTGCAGAAAATGTGAGTTTCCCCCTCAGCTAGTGCTGTCATTGCTGCACAAAATGTGGCGGCGCAAGTGTGATGAGCTTCAAGTCGATATAGACATGACTGGTGCATCTTGAGAAGAGCTGCCAAGCCAGAGAAATCTCAGCCTACGTCCTCCAGTTCTTGTCCTGACCTGAAAGATTTTATATGACCTGGTGTGAGGCTTCATGACCTGGTGTGAGGCTTCGCACCAGGCAAAACCTGGCAAAACTTTTGGAATCGGTGGGCATACAAAAGGCAGCCTGCTGGTGTGGTGGGTATCCTACTGATTGTAGCAAAACTAACGGTTACTGCAAAGTACAGTGGTGCCCCGCAAGACGAATGCCTCGCAAGACGAAAAACTCGCTAGACGAAAGGGTTTTGCATTTTTTGAGTCGTTCCGCAAGATGAATTTCCCTATGGGCTTGCTTCGCAAGACGAAACGTCTTGCGAGTTCTTGCGAGTTTGTTTCCTTTTTCTTAAAGCCGCTAAGCCGCTAATAGCCGCTGAGCCGTTAATAGCCGCTAAGCCGCTAATAGCCGCTAAGCCGCTAATAGCCGCTAAGCCGCTAATAGCCGTGCTTCGCAAGACGAAAAAACCGCAAGACGAAGAGACTCGTGGAATGGATTAATTTCGTCTTGCAAGGCACCACTGTACAGTGGTACCTCGGGTTAAGAACTTAATTCGTTCTGGAGGTCCGTTCTTAACCTGAAACTCTTCTTAACCTGAGATACCACTTTAGCTAATTGGGCCTCCCGCTGCCGCCGTGCCGCCGGAGCACGATTTCTCTTCTCCTCAAGAAGCAAATTCTTAACCTGAGGTACTATGTCCGGGTTAGCGGAGTCTGTAACCTGAAGCGTCTGTAACCTGAAGCGTCTGTAACCTGAGATACCACTGTACAGAGAATTTGAGGTTTCCTTAAAAAAAAAAAAAAAAGCAAGTTCCTATAGCCTTCCTGGTTCTGAGCACATTTGGGCAGCTGATATGTAGAGATCAGAGGTGCTTTTCACGATGGGACATGAACAGTATAGCTCCTTCACGTCCCCAATCCATTTATATAGCCCTCCTTTTTCTCAAAGGGGCAGATATGGTTTTCTGTCTCTCTCCTTGATGACAGCCCTGTGAGGCAGATTTGGCTGAGAGTCAGTGATTGGTCCAAGGTCACCCAGTGAGCTTCATGGCCGAGTGCAGATTCAAACCCTGGTATCCCAGGTCCACTCTAACCACTATGCCACACCATAGATACATTATATATACTGCTCCTATATACATTACTCGGTGCATCCCTTTTCTGCTCCCCCCCTTCATTTTAAAAAACAACAGAACCAGGGTTGGTGTGTAGAGATGGAGCTAAGCTTGGCAAACTGAGGTATTTTTCACAAACTTGCAAAATATACATTTTCTCTTAATTCTGAAATTCAGAAAGCATCACGCTCCCGGAACATGCGTCACTCCACACCTGTTCCAACTTACCTGGTGTTGATGGTGCCAGCAGCAATAGTTTAAGAGTAATGAAATTGCAGTTAAGAAGCTCAAATCATATATATATGACTGACACTCTTCTTTGGAAATTAAACCAATGTTCAGATTTTGACATTCAAAAACTTTACTTGCAGAAACTTATAGGTGAATTAAAACATAATATTTACAGTCACATGCCTATCCAAGCATGGGCTTATGGTCTCTTTGTCTAACTTTCAAGCAACTATATTTTCCTCCCTCTCCAGAGCTCAGCACTCTAGACTTCTGTATCTCAATTAGGCCATTCCTTGCAGCTCCTATGAGAGATTTCCACTTGCTTTTCTCTCTTTCAAGTAGAGAAGAAGCACTCCAACACTCTATTCGACTTAGCAGTGTTCACAGTGGATTCCAAAATGCAGTCATTGCTTTACATAATGCATCTTGCTTTACCTAAAATGGAGCCTCTCCTTCACATGATACCCTCCCAAGTGACCAATGCTAGCCAATCACATGAGTACTACTAGAATTCAGTTACCAACCAATCAAGTTTAAACACAGTAATGCATTCAAGCATTTACAATTTCAGTGAATTAAATTGCTATACTTGTCTTGCCTCCAATGTCCCAACTACTAGAGAACTTGGGAAATATGATGGATAATGGATGTTCAATTCCATAGGAGACAGAATGCACAGTTGTGGGAATGCACACCCAAAAGGCCATGGACCCAAGCAATGATCTCTTAGTGACCCTACTGGTAGGAGCACAACCACTGTAATACTGAACCTCCACTGACCACCTTCTGGTAGCTGCAGAAGAATCCTGGGGTCAGTGGTGTCAAAAGCCACTGAGAGGTAATAATGAAGCAATAGGGTTGCACTCCCCCCTCCCATTAGGGCGTCATCAATTGGGGCGAACAAAGCTGTTTTGGTGCCAAAACTGGGCTAGAAACCAGACTGCAGTGGTTCTATCTAGATGGTCTTCTTCCTGCCAAACCATGTGGCTGACCTTCTCAATCACCTTGCCCTGGAAGGGGATAGTAGAGACTGGATGGTAGTTTCCTAAAACTACTGGATGTAGGAAGCACCTCTTCAAGAGGGGCCACACCATTGCCTCTTTCAAGGAGATATGCATACCTCTCTCAGTCCGTCCCCCTTTTGGATTTTGCCAGCTGTGATGGACAGGGATTGAGAGAGCACATAGTTAGTCTCCCTGCTGCAGACGTCCTGTCTAGGTCACATCCTTGTACCTGCCCTGTTCTTGCGTAAAGCAGGGAGGTCCACCAAAAAGTGTGTGTGTGTGCAAAGCCAGAGGAGGCCTCCTGCTGCCCTTTTCCTATCTGTCCTCCACTGCTTCAAGCACTATATGTATATGCATGTATATGTATATATATAATTTCATTAAATTTTCTAATTCCAAAATATTCATTTAGACAACCTTAAATCAATGACTTCCTTCTTCTCTTTCCATGGTTCATTTTGCATACTATACATCCCTGCATATTTTACATGAACAAAACTATTCAGTAATCCATCGTTACATCCATCAAAACTTGTTTACACTGTTGAATTTATCTTAATGCTACCCGCATTTTTAAATGAACATAATTTTCACCCATATATTCAGTAAACATTTTCCAGTTTTCTTTAAACGTACACTCTTCTTGTTCTCTTATTCTATATGTTAAATCTGCAAGCTGCACATATTCCATCAGTCTAAGTTGCCATTCTTCTTTGATTGGGAACTCGCTCGTTTTCCATTTTTGGGCTAACGAAACACGGCCCGCATACATAAATAGTCTTTTTTGACACCTGGGAATTTCCCTCTGAATTATCCCCAACAAAAAGGACTTTGGGGGTTTTTGGGGGGGAAAGGTACTTTTAAACAATTTTTTCAGTTCATTATAAATCATTTCCCAATAATCTTTTACCTTTTTACAAGTCCACCACATATGATAAAATGTACCATCAACCTCATTACATCTCCAGCACTTATCTGATTTGGACTTATACATTTTAGCAAGTCTGCTCGCGGGTTTCCCTGTGGGTTAAACCACAGAGCCTAGGACTTGCCGATCAGAAGGTCAGTGGTTCGAATCCCCGTGACGGGGTGAGCTCCTGTTGCTCGGTCCCTGCTCCTGACAACCTAGCAGTTCGAAAGCACATTAAAGTGCAAGTAGATAAATAGGTACTCCTCCAGCGGGAAGGTAAACGGCGTTTCCATGCGCTGCTCTGGTTCGCCAGAAGCGGCTTAGTCATGCTGGCCACATGACCCAGAAGCTGTACGCCGGCTCCCTCGGCCAATAAAGTGAGATGAGTGCCGCAACCCCAGAGTTGGTCACGACTGGACCTAATGGTCAGGGGTCCCTTTACCTTTACAGTCATACCTTGGGTTGCGTTAGGTTCATGCTGTGTCTTTTCGGCTTGCGAATGCGGCATACCTGGAAGTGTATACTTTCGGGTTTCGCCACGCGCGCACACACAGAAGTGTTCTGCGTGCTTCGCACATGCGCAGAAGCGCTCTATCGCACTCCACGCTTGCACAGAAGTGCCGCTCTGGTTGCAGACTTTCCGGGTTGCGAACGGCACCCCAGAACAGATCGTGTCCACAACTAGAGGTACCACTGTATAAATCATTTTCAGGTAGCTCTCCTTCAAAGAATAACATGCTGTGAACTTCAGATCGCTCTTCCAAAGTTTTCCCCAGAGGTCCAAATCTATATTATGTCCTATATCTATTGCCCAGTGTGTCATAGAAACTTTAACAAGCACTTTCCTCTCTGACTTGGGTCATTTTCAGCACTGGAACTGTGTTGGGAGAAAAGGAGCCCAAAGCTGCAGAGCATGGGAAGCCAAGATGCAGGTAGGTTCTCCCCCCAGTTCCTTTCACCTACACATCCTTTTTGCTGTAAAAAAAGGGTTGTTGTTTAGTCATGTCCGACTCTTCGTGACCCCATGGACCAGAGCACGCCAGGCACTCCTGTCTTCCACTGCCTCCCGCAGTTTGGTCAAACTCATGCTGGTAGCTTCGAGAACACTGTCCAACCATCTCGTCCTCTGTCGTCCCCTTCTCCTTGTGCCCTCCATCTTTCCCAACATCAGGGTCTTTTCCAGGAAGTCTTCCCTTCTCATGAGGTGGCCAAAATATTGTAGCCTCAGCTTCAGGATCTGTCCTTCCAGTGAGCACTCAGGGCTGATTTTCCTTCAGAATGGATAGGTTTGATCTTCTTGCAGTCCATGGGACTCTCAAGAGTCTCCTCCAGCACCATAATTCAAAAGCATCAATTCTTTGGCGATCAGCCTTGTTCATGGTCCAGCTCTCACTTCCATACATCACTACTGGGAAAACCATAGCTTTAACTATACTGTGTAGACAGTATATATATAGATATAACACTATATTGTGTAGACACACACAAACACACACTCTCTATACATCTATATCTATACACTATCTTGGTCAAAAAAAGGGGGGCTTGCTACCCGTATTCCTAGCTGATTTTTGTCCATCTTACCATTTGTTCTTTCTCTAACGAAGATTGCCAGTGGCAAGAGAATTCACAGAAATCCCTTCTTAATTGGAAACAGCAAGCTTGTGTATTTTTCAGTTGTCTATTTTTGATTCTTGTAAAATTAAAGTTAAATAGCTGCAACACAGCAGTTTCCAAATTCCCACAGCCCCGTCCATTAAAGAGGAAATAGATCCCAGATTATTGAGGGGGTGGGGGGTGGGGTTTAATTATTAATACACTAGAACTTAGCATTAGAACAAAGCACCAGAGGCTTTATGGGATACATCTGGCGACGGCTGTTGTCTGCCTGTACAACTAGGTTCTCACAAACCCTTTCCCCCAGACTGATTTGTGGGGACTGTTTCTTACTGGGGAAAACGGGGTCTTTTGTGAACAGTTGGAACAAGAGAGGAGCAGTTTTGGTGAACGCTGGCAGGGATCTGAAATGCAAGGCAGTCGCACTCCTGAGGGTCCCTCTATGCCAGGGGTCAGCAAACTTACCGCGCCTCAGGCCGGTGTCTCCAGCGCTGATCGCGTGGCGGGCCGGAGGCCGGGGGAGCGCATGCCCATTCGCACGCACACACGCTATTTCTGGTGCACTTCCACGTCAGAGGAGCACCAGAAATAGCTTGTGCGCATGTGCATGGGCCTCCTCCGACCCGGATGTGCACTGGAAATAATGCTTGCGCATGCGCAAATAACGCTTGCGCATGTGCACAAGCTATTTCCGGTGCTCCTCCGACCCAGAAGTGGGAAGCCGCGCAGCACCGGTAAGAGCAGGCGGCTGGGGTCGCCGTAGGCCGGATAAACGAGTCCCTCGAGCCTTATCCGGCCCGCGGGCCTTAGTTTGGGGACCCCTGCTCTATGCCAATTGTTTCGAGATGGAATTCCCACTCTTTGCCCTGTGAAAAGTGATGGAAAGCAGGCATGACAGGAGGTCGGGAAATGGCTCTGCTGAAGTGTGGGAAATTAGTGGCGGGTGTGGCGGGGGACCACTGAGTGTTCAAACCCCCATTGAGGGGGACCCGGTGTCATGTGACCTGTCCCACCAGAGGCGGAGCTAGCTGCTCTGGCACCCGGATTGGCACATATGCTGTGCACTCAGGGGCGGGGCTAGCTGCCCATGTGGGCGGAGCAAGCGTCTCACGTCAAGCGTGAGCATCCCATGGGGGCGCCACCTGCGGCAAGCATCCCAGGGGGTGGTGCAGCGATGTCACCCACCTCAGGGATGACATCCGGGGTGGACCACCTCCATCACCCCCCCTTCCTCCACCAGTGTATCCTGCCCCCACCTGGCAGACCAGCACTGGTCCGGTGGCGGCAGGTGCACAGAATGGCTTCAGTATCACCAATTAAATGCTGTTTTTAAGGTTGACAAAAAGAAGGGTTTTGATACAATGAGATCGAGGTTTGATATAGATCTGCTGGAAAAATCACATGAAAGTGTTATCAAAGATGTGCAAAATTACTTTTAGAATGGCATACAAAATATGAAGAAGTTAAGACATTGGGCTAGAGATTTTGGGTATAATATCCAACTTTCGTCTTGGGAAAAGTTATGGAAAGAAGAAATAAAATTTACTGCATGCTGTTTGTTGAAAGAAAATTATATGAAAACGATATATCGTTGGTATCTACATAACACCGAGCAAAATTGCTAAAATGTACAAAACAAACTATAAAATGTGTTGGAAATGTAAAGAGAAAGAGGGCACTTTCTTATCAAATGTGGTGGACATGCACATTGGTAAAGGCTTTCTGGGAAATGATATATAATGAGTTAAAGAAAATATTTTTAAAATACATTTGTCAAAAAACCAGAAGCCTTTTTACTAGGTATAACAGGTGAAGACTTTCCAAGAGAAGATAAAAAACTTTTTATGTATGCAACGACGGTAGTGAGAATGCTACTAGCTCAGAGGTGGAAAGAGGGAGAAGTACCAACAAAAGAAGAATGGCAGGTGAAACCGATGGAGTATGAGGAGATGGAGAAACTGACGGGGAAGATCCGAAGTAAAGACACTTGTAATGTGAAATTTTTTAATGGTAATTATGGTTATATAATAGATAGATAAGGGTAAAAGATGCAGTAAATGTAATCTTAAAGATAGAACCATGGAGGGAAGGAAGGAGGTCTAAGGGTTCGAAAGAACTCTGTATTTTAATGTTTGAAATGTTTTTTTTTTTAATATATATAATTTTTCAAAAACTTAATAAAATATTATCATATATATATATATATAAACAATTCACCCACAGGAAAAAAAGGAAGAAAGATAGCACTTGTTTTCCATTTTGGGGCTAACCAGGGCAAACTTTTCAGATTCCAACGTGGGTGTAGTAAAATGAGTTTGGTGTTTGGGAAAAGATTCTTAGCATGATTTAGAGGTTCACTCTTGGATGTACTCAACTTTACATTGGGAAAAGGGCAAGTTTTTCTGCATCACGGAAAGAGGAACGCCCTTTGCAAAATGCATGTACCTGTTGTCATTATTGCTGATTTATTCATATCCTGTTTTCCTTAGAAATATTCAAAGTGCGTTAAAGAAAGACACAACATAAAAACATGCTTTGTACTTCAGCTTGGAATCTAGACCCTGTTAAGTGATTGGCAGTCTCTCTGCCTTATAAGAATTTATGCTCTAATTGATAACTGCACATATTTTCAGAGGCAGAGCCAAGCAACAAATAAGCTTGCTCAAATACTAAATTATTCTGTACAACCCACCTCCTCTTGCAGCAGATGGGATTACACTGCAGCCAAGAGAGCCTGCTCTTTATTTCATAGTGCAGCTAGATTTTATCAGTCCTTTATCTCCCTCTCTCTCTCCAGATTTGATCCAGGCAGAAAGGCAAGCCACGTGGCAATAATTGTGCTAAGAAAACAAACTAACCTCTGAAGAGAGGAAGAGAAAAGGCAGCTGAGAGGCAATTTACACTGCAGAAGCAAATATACAAATATAAAGGCAGAGTCAAAGCAGATTATGTCACAGCTGAGGCATAATCTTCAATATCTAGGTAGGCCAAAAACTTATGCCCCCAGGGTTGGGTGCATAAACACAATTTGTGATTCGAGGACTGGCTTGTGGATTGTGCTGGTCCTGAGGGTAAACCGTGCGGTGAGGTCCAAGTCCAGTCCGAGGTCAAGGGTGTGGTATGGAGGCTGTCCATCAAAGCTGAAGCGGGGTCCAAGGCAGGGAGTCGGGCGAGGTCAGGAACTCTGGCAGAAGAGCAGGACAGGGTGCAGGCAGGAACAGGCTAGCAACAATGTTGCTCCTGCAACCTGGGACTGGGGTTGGCTGGCTTTTATCTGCCCCAAGGAATAGGGTGGCCCCAGTCCACAGGTGACTCATCTCTCCTGGCCTGGAGGCGAGCACTCCTTCTGTGGGAACTTAGTTCCCTCCACCTCTCTGCCCTGAGCCTCCGCAGCTCAGGGGAGGCTGGAGGGTTACCGGACCCAGAGGCAACCTCAGCTTCCCCTGATGGGGCTGAGAGTGGAGCACCTGCAGGCAATGGGTCCTCCATCACCTCAGGGGCCAGAGCAGACTCAGCTGGTGCCTGCACCTGAGGATCCAGCATAGGTGAGGACCCTTCAGGCTCAAGCCCCAGCCCTGGCTCAGCTGGTTCTGGAGGCGGGGACTCCTGTGCAGGCTGGGATTCCTCAGGTTCAGCCTCTGAGTCTGAATCCCAGGCCATCACAAGGATAAGAAAGACACATGGACGCAGTATATTAGGTTAATGGGCTAAAAAAGGCCATGATTTTATTGATTACAGCATGTGAGAGGTATTGGTTTAGGCATTGGATAAAACAACAGAGCATGACTCCACCCCTTCAGGAAGGGGAGAGTCTAACAAGGGTTAACCACCAGTAGGAGGAGCCTGTTGATGCAAATACAACTAAAAACTCCCCCTGATGTCACCAGGGGTCGTGCCATGGCCCTAGCCACCAGCAAGGGTGTTGGACAGGATCCACGACCACCGGATTCCTTTAACGGAATATCCATAAAGTGGAGGGGTAGGCGATGGCCACACCCTGCCCTCCAACACACAAACATATTCCAATGCCTAATCGCCAATACCTAAAAAGTTGTGATGATTTGCTACGAGGTAGGCGAAAAAACCGGGATGCGGGTGGCACTGTGGGTTAAACCACAGAGCCTAGGACTTGCCGATCAGAAGGTTGGCAGTTCGAATCCCCGTGAGCTCCTGTTGCTTGATCCCTGCTCCTGCCAACCTAGCAGTTCGAAAGCACGTCAAAGTGCAAGCAGATAAATAGGTACCGCTCCGGCGGGAAGGTAAACGGCGTTTCCATGTGCTGCTCTGGTTCGCCAGAAGCGGCTTAGTCATGCTGGCCACATGACCTGGAAGCTGCACACCGGCTCCCTCAGCCTATAAAGCAAGATGAGCGCCGCAACCCCAGAGTCGGTCACGACTCAACCTAATGGTCAGGGGTCCTTTTACCTTTTACTTTTAGGTGAAAAACAAGTGGCTGGTGCCAATTTGCCAGTTGGATAAAAATTCCTACCAGGCCCCTTGGACAATGAAGGCGACCAACCACAGGTCCATAGCAAGGTCAAGAAGAAAGCAATGAACTGGGGGCCACTAGGGGGCTCATTGGAAGATGGCTGACAATACCATCTCTCTGACCCACACGGGGTAATTATGAGGCTGTTATGGGAGTAGGCAGCCTCCCTTGTTGCCCCAAGGAAATGGGTAACACTGCCCTTGCCTGCTGTGCCCATAAATCACCCCCTAATTCGAAAGAAGGGGGTGAGGGCCCTAGGCAGAATGCCCCTGTGTGGACATCGGCTCTCCTGGATGCTGTCTCTGATCGTGCACTAGTTGCAGCAATTTGGAATAATTAATTACAAAAGAAGCAAATGCACATATTTCAAGTGAAGAAGGGGAGTGAAGTCTGCTAATTTAAGTGACCTCTGCGAAAGAAGACAACGGGCTGGAGAAACAGGAATATTTTACGATGAAGATACACCAAAGGCGGGGTATGTTGACAACGGGGCTGAATGGGGGGAACAACCTTTTTTACTTTCCTTCTATGTGATTTACAAGAACCCTTCCTCATTAGAACCGTCGGTTGAACTGACCCAAGCAGGATGATTAAGGTCTGTGTGGATATAAACTTTAACCAAAAGTATGCTTTATGGAGACCGAGAAGCGATAAGAGCTTTTGGGAATGGCGCAGCAATTAATTCGGAGTCGCCATCTTGCCAAAGGATTTATAGCTGGGAGGAAGAACGGATTTGTTTTCAGACTGCATTCCTAGTGAATCTCCTCAGAGGTTTTGAGAAAGGAGGCAGATTGGTGAAGATTAATGACGCTAAGACTGTTTTGATGTATGGAAGTGATGTTATATGGAAAACGTCTGGATATGGCTACTGGATAAAAATATTAATATCCACGCAGGATTACAAACTGTTCTAACCAGCTTGTGGAGACTATCAGAGGTCACAAAGAGAAAGGAAAAATATATGAAAATAACAACAAGAGATGTGAAAAAAGAATAAGAAAGGACTGGATAGTACTGTGAACATCATAAGGTTAGATTTGTGGACATTAAAACAGCAGTAAGAAGCAAGAAGTTGATTGGATCCCTTTGGAACTTGAAATATGGGTACCCCCAACAAAAATTTAAAATTCGGCTGTGTAATTTGGAATTTATGTAATTTGGTTTGATTTGATGTGATTGGTCGGTTAATAAAAAATTATTCTTAAAAAAAGACGAAGAAAGCAATGAACTAAAGGGAGGGTGGGTGGGTGATCCGACGAAACCCAGCAACGCAATGAGGGAAGCACTGCCACGTCCACATTTGAGTGCACCCCCAACTGCACCCCCAAGCCTCCACCTGATTGGCTGGCTGCCAGGGGGCGTGGCACGGCAGCCGGGTCAGCTGAGCAGGGGCTGGAATGCCCCCTGCCAATGCGGGAAACGGCTGCCGCTCACAACACCTCCCCTCTGGCAGGAGGAGAGGCTTAAGTGGACCCAAATTCTGAAGTGAACCTAAATTCTGTAACCTTGCTTAAATTAGTGACCTCATCAAAGTTCACAATTCCTTTGTTGGGAATGCAAAACCTCGAATCATAGAAATCTAGAGTTGGAAGGCTCCTTGAGGGCCATCTAACTTAACCCCTCGCAAGGTAAGAATCTCAGCTGAAGCATCCAACTGCAGAGCTATTCTCTTGTGCTACTCAGCTGTATTTCAAACGTAGTGTCATTTCCCAGAGAGGGAAATGTAGCTCAGAATGCTGAATAAGATTGTGAACCTGCATAGTGAGCATTCAGCAGAACAAGCGCCTGAAGCCATGTGCAAAAGTTGCTTAACGTTAAACTATCGGCTCGGAGTCTGCTTCCGGATAAGTGGGATCCTAATGCAAGCCATTCACTGCTTTTCCACTCTAAGCAATAAAGGGAAGATAAGAGCAACTGAATTTCCACCCCACTGGAAGTATTTCACTTTTTCTATATATGTGCCTCCAAGTAAGTTCTGTCTGTACTGGTTCTTTTTCTTCTTTGGCGATCCCTCATAGCCGAGTAAGATTGTCTTCCATGAACATGATTTTAACAGTGAGTCAGTGTGGTGTAGTGGTTAAGAGCGGTAGACTCGTAATCTGGGGAACCGGGTTCGCGTCTCCGTTCCTCCACATGCAGCTGCTGGGTGACCTTGGGCTAGTCACACTTCCCTGAAGTCTCTCAGCCCCACTCACCTCACAGAGTGTTTGTTGTGGGGGAGGAAGGGAAAGGAGATTGTTAGCCGCTTTGAGACTCCTTCGGGTAGTGATAAAGCGGGATATCAAATCCAAACTCTTCTTCTTTTTCAGTAAGTGACTGTGGAGGCCAATTCTGGATCCACATGTCCTTCTACAGTGGGGACATAAGTTTCTGGGCAGGAGCTGATCACGGTGAGGGTTTGCCAAGTGTGCCTTAGCACGTTACTCCTTTGCGTCCTGAGTTCGAGTGTCTTCAAAGCCTATGATACCTTTGGTAAAGGCTGTTCTCCAGTTGGAGCGCTCACAGGCCAGTGTTTCCCAGTTGTTGGTGTTTATACTTTTTTTTCCTTGAGAGAGTCTTCAAACCTCTTTTGTTGACCACCAGCATTATGCTTTCCATTTTTAAGTTTGGAATAGAGTAGTTGCTTTGGAACATGATAATCAGGCATCCGACCAACGTGACCAGTCCAACAAAATTGATGTTGAAGAATCATCGTTTCATCACTGGTGACCTTTGTTTCTCCCAGTACACTGGCATGAGTTCGCCTGTCTTCCCAAGTGATGTGTAAAAATTTTTGGAGACACCATTGATGGCATCTTTCGAGGAGTTGGAGATGGCGTTTATAAGTGGTCCACATTTCACAACCATACAGTAAGGTTGGTAGTACAACAGCTTTGTAAACAAGCATTTTGGTTTCCCTGTGAATGTGCCGGTCCACAAACACTCTGCACTTCAATCGGGAGACAGCTGCACTTGCAGAGCTAAGGTGATGTTGGATTTTGGCATCAGTGTTGAAAAATAACTGCCCAGGAAGGGGAAGTGATCAACATTTTCCAGCGTTACACCATTGAATTGGATTTGTGGCACTGCAGAGGGTTTGTTTTGTGCTTGTTGGTGTAGCACTTTGGTTTTTTGGAAGTTGAGTGATAGGCCAAGCTTTCCATAAGCTTCTGCAAAGATATTTAGGATGGTTTGGAGGTCATCCTCTGAGCGTGCACACACTAAGTTGTCACCAGCATACTGAAGCTCTAAGACGGAAGTTACGGTAACCTTACTCTTTGCTTTCAGCTTGCTCAGATTAAAGAGCTTTCCATCTGTTTGATATATGATATCTGCTCCGGAGGGGTGTTTCCCTTTGACAAAGTGTAGGATCATGGCGATGAAAATAATGAATAGAGTTGGGGCGATAATGCAACCCTGTTTAACACCTGATCCCACTGTGAGAGCCATTGTTACTTGCGATTGTTGCTGTCACATTATCATGGAGGAGCCGAATGATGTTCACAAATTTATCTGGGCAGCCAATTTTCTGGACAGTCCACAGGGCATTACTTACCTACAGACACACAGGACTCAGCTACATTAGTAAAAAAAAAGAGTGATTTGAATGTGTTATAAACATGCAACACCAGATGGCGCCAGAAAGATCAAAACCTTTCTATTGAGTTTTTACATAGGGTTTTTTTTCTTTTGTTATAACAATTTTATTTCTGACTTATTTATAACGGCTTTTTCCTGTGCGTAGATCCACCCACACATATAATTTTATTGTAATGAAGGGTTTGTATTTTCCCCCTTTTAATATATGCATATACATAGACAAGAGATACATATAAAAGATTACATACTGATTGTTGCAATAAAAACATCACAGCACCAGCCCTAATAGAGAAGAAAGTTCCAAGGGGTTGATTGTGGCAAGCTGCTGATTCCATAGGTTCACCCTCTCTTTACTTAAAAACAACCATAAAACAGGAAGAATTAAATTCAGGGCTGTCTTTAGCATATGCGCCGCCAGGGTATAAATATCTGCCCAGCACCAACAAATTTAGTTTAGCCGCCCACAATTTTTTTTTGGGGGGGGCGAACTAAAGGTTGTTGAGCTTTTTGGGGGGAGGAGAATCGCTCACCTGTAACAAAGACGCAGCGAAAATAACTGCTTTTGTTTACTGACTCGTCAGGAATATTTGACGCAACGGAGGAACAGAGCGATGGAGGAGGGGGGCGGGGACTTTCGCTCCATTACTTTTCACTGCCGTCGATTGAGAGGGACTAGTATACAGTAGGTGCCCCCCAGAATACATTTGGTGCTCCCTAGAATTCAGCGCCTGGGTGCCCCACACCCCTTGCACCCCTGGCTAAAGACGGCCCTGATTAAATTACAAGGTAGTAAAATAATCATAATCACAATAATAGAAAGGTTAAGAAGAACAAATGGCGTAAAATATACTGTATTCCATAGTGCAATACAATGTGCATATTTTTACCAAATCTTCATGAACATTGCCAAATTTACTCGTACTTAGTGGGAATGTGCCAGTCATGAGATTGTTCAGTCATATTAGTGGGGTGGGAGAGCTGAAAAAAAATTCACATCTGCCAACCAATGTGCAATTTTGGTTTCAGATAGCACATGGGTAGACATGTCTAAAAAGCCCAGGAGACAAATTTTCACGGCCTTCTATCGGCTATGGTGGCTCATTTGCCAGAAGTAATGTATTTTGCATTAACTTTCCAAGTGTATACTCAATTCTGACAAAATTGAGACTCCTAGAGCAAAATATACATCAGGATTACCCTACCCCCTGTGGGAATGTTCAGGGAGGCAGGAAAGGATATATTGTTTATTAATATCCTTCCTAACTTGCGCTAGGAAGTTCTATGACTTAGCAGAGTTTTACATTCCCCTTTTAAACACACAGCTGAAAGCTGGTTGTAGGCTTGTTTAAGCCTCTTACTATTAGATTCCTGGTAAGTCCCCTTATATCCCTCTTAAAAGAATGAACACGCCACAATCTTGCTTAAAGTATATAAAAGAAGTTTACTCACATCATCAGTTCACAGTTGGATCCCTGAAGGCAGACTTAGTTACAAAGTATATACATATGGGTCTATCCCATATGGAGATAATCCCTTTGTCCTCTTTTGGCTGGAAGCATCTCTAGCTAAAAAGCTGCTGGTCGCAACGATGGATGAAGTCAAAGAGAGAGGGAGGAGGGCTGCGTGCCTTGTGCTTTTGTTACCTGCACAGGTAAGGTCACACCCACCTTTAGTCACATGCAAAAGGAAGAATGTCCCAGCCATAGCTGTCAACTTTTCCCTTTTCTTGCAAGGAATCCTATTCGGAATAAGTGAATGTCCCTATAAAAAAAAGGGAAAAGTTGACAGCTATGGTCCCAGCCCAGGAGGAAACAGGAAGTTCCGACTGGCTGGACCAAGCATCCCCTTGCATGTCCACTCTAGGAAAACAAGGAATGTTGTACTTGACTGCTATCTATGTACTTGACTGCTATCCACCCCTCACCCCAAATCGAAGAACCATAGAATCATATGACTTGTAGAGTTTTGCTGGATGGCAGGTGTGCAAGGATGCACGTTCTTTATTTTAAAAAGAAAAGAAAGATGAATATACCTTTTGCAGCAAAGTGTTGTGCTTGGTAATGTCAAGAGGAGTTTGGACAGACAGTTAGGAAGGGAAGAGCGCTGTTAATTGTGCTCTCTCTATTTTTTGTGCCTGAATGACATACTGTACACAGATTATATGCACCCATTCAGTTTTTAAGGTATGAACTCCGATTCCAAATTTGCTGGATTCGATCCAAATCAAATATTATCACTGTTGCCTGATTACACAAAGTTCCTTTCCTCCTTTTCAAGAAGTGAATTGTGCCAGTGAACTACGCCAGGAAGCATTACTATTCTGCCTGGTGTTTATCTTATTCCAGAACATCTTCAAAACTCCCTTTGAAACAGATATTATGAAATGCTCTTTAAAAGCATGCGTGTAGCTTGCTTGCAAAGAATTGATTGCAGCATTCCCTGTAGTTAATTAACAGCTCGGCTCAATGATGACAAGCTCTTGATTATGTCGCGTGTTGCAACGGGCATGCTTCGTGCTGATATAATGAATGTTGTAAAACAGTTTCCATTATAACCGCCATTTTCACAAGCCCATAACTTTTTGAAACATTTGCTTTGCATGCTTGGCCCCTGCCCAATGTTCATCGGGGGAGGGGGGAGTTTGACCCCTTTCGCCCCCTTTTGAGTTATGAGAAAGTAAAAGGGACAAAAAGAAACACTTTTACATAATGATATCATAAAACCTCAAGTACTCTGAGTGTAACAGGAACATTTCCTGCCTCTTGCAGCTTGGAACATGACACAGCTGCAGTCTTTTTGGGAAAGGGTTCGTAGTTCGACTCCATTATTCTGAGGCAGGGATGGGCAATCTGTTTCTGTTGAGGGACAACCTCTTTCTCTTGGAAGTCATCGCTTGAGGGCCACATAGGGCAGGAATCCAAAGTGATTTGGATCCTTCCCTTCCCTTCCACATTGTAGTCCTTTGGAACCATGAGCTGGTCTGGATTCAATGCAAGAGTCAGTACAGTTTAAAGGGTAAAGGGACCCAGTTGTCGCCGACTCTGGGGTTGCGGTGCTCATCTCGCTTTATTGGCCAAGGGAGCCGGCGTATAGCTTCCAGGTCATGTGCACAGCATGACCAAGCCGCTTCTGGCGAACCAGAGCAGCGCACAGAAAGTCATTTATCTTTCCACTGGAGTGGTTCCTATTTATCTACTTGCACTTTGACGTGCTTTTGAACTGCTAGGTTGGCAGGAGCAGGGACCGAACAACGGGAGCTCACCCCGTTGTGGGGATTCAAACCACCGACCTTCTGACCAGCTAGTCCTAGGCTCTGTGGTTTAACCCACAGTGCCAGCCACGTCCCTTCAGTACAGTTTAGGTAGCCCTTATAGGACACAGGTAACAGGCAGAGGCAGATTTGGAGGAATGAAACTGCTCTGGTCCCAAAAATTATATGAAAATGATCTACAGATGGTATATAACATCAGTACAGATAGCAAAAATGTATAAAACCGGCTCTAACATTTGTTGGAAATGTAAAGAAAAAGAAGGGACTTTTTATCATATGTTGTGGGAATGTAAAGAAATTAAAAAAATTTGGGAAATGATATATAATGAATTGAAGAAAATGTTTAAAATGACATTTGTAAAAAAAACCCAGAAGCATTTTTCCTAGGGATTGTAGGACAAGACCTGCCAAGGAAAATAAGGAACTTATTTATGTATGCTACAACAGCGGCAAGAGTCTTGATAGCATGAGGATGGAAGAATGAGGAAACCCCGACAAAAGAACAGTGGCAAGAGAAATTGATGAACTACGCAGAACTGGCTAAATTGACATACAAACTGCGAGACAAAGACAACTGTGATTTCAAGGAAGAATGGGAGCTTTATACAAATGATTTAAAAACACAACAAAATGAACTGGACTCCTTGGCAGGTTTTGAATAAACATACACAAATTTATTGCTGATAACATGATGGACAGATATGTAAGGATATATACAATTTTATAATATGCAGAGAAAATATGTGCAGCAAAATCAGGGAGAGGAGCTGAGGGAAATCCTTGGTGTGGAGGAGGGGGAAATAAAAAAAGGGGGGAAATTATGTAGGTGATTATATGGTTTGATATTTGTTATGTGGAAATTGAGCAAAAATATATATATTTTTTAAAAAAGAAACTGCTCTGGTCCCATGGATGCCGAACCTCGGGGGCACCTCAGGGGATGTTAGATTTAGAATGGAGCATGATAAACAGGGGGCCACAGATTTTTCGCGTTCCACAGGGGCCGCTGAAATTTAAGACCCTCAGGTATCGGCGTAGCCAGGATTTCTGTTGGGGGGGGTCAAGCCTTTGGTTAGGGGGACCAAAACCTCAGTTAGCTATGTGTTTTTATTAGTTTTTATTGATTGGGGGGCAGCTGCCCCTCCCTGCCCCCCCCCAGCTATGCCCATGTCCCCAGGTCTGCCACTGTACAGGGGAAGTGTGCAAGCACTTTTCTGCCCAATCATTTTGTGAAAAACAAGCCCGCTGCCACCTTTCAGTGTTGTTAGCTAGTGAATGAAGTCACAAGCATGACTGACATTTGGTGGAGTAGCATAAGCCATAGAAACAAAAACGGGAGAGGCACTCACATTGTGTGGAGAAAGGACTTGTTGGTTCACTTTGAATCTTCTTCTTTTAGTCTTCCCTGGTGGAAAAGTGGTTGCTGCCTACAGAAAACAATTTAGAAATCCCAGAGCTTGCTTTCTTTATTATTTTTTTTAATTTTTTTATATGCTTTATTATGCTTAAACACCAACAAAAAACCCCATACATTTATGGTAAGTCATTTGTTACAAAAATATATGAAGTTAAAAAAACAACAACTCATATGTTCTGACAATAAATCTAACTTCCCGCCACCTCCATACGTCATTTAATATTTACTAACTTACTGCAAAAACCTATCCATTCATTTTATAATGAAGTATTATTTCTCCTGTGTCCTTGTTTCCTACTTAGTACAGCTACAGAAGTTATTCGAAGGCAGCGACCGAGATCATGCTACAACAAATGTTCTTAAGACATGTTTTGAAAACTTCCCATTTTGCAGTAAATACTTGTTTTGAATTATCTTCCAATTTTATTCTGTTAATCTGGCTAGCTCTGCCCATTCAACTAATTTTTGTAACCATTCTGACCTGGAAGGGATTTTATCACATTCGGAGTTTTCATGTACAGTTTTGTCCTATGAGAGCTCCCTTGCAATGCCATTTTCTATACACAATAAGCATACAGAATTTAAGCGCTCTTCAGCGGAACAGCCAACTTACTGTGACAATCTATCTTTACAGCATCTGTACAACTGACTCTCAAACTTTGGGAATGTTGAAATATAGACAACAACAAAAATCAGTTTGAGCCATGTGACTCAAATTGGGTCTACTAGACCCAATTTTGATAACTAATGAGGACTAAAATCACTTCTGGGCTATCCAGGTTTAGGGGCCGTGAAGCTTAAGCTTCATTAGTTTCACAGTATTATTATTATTATTTCTTTATTGAATTTATATACTGCCCTATACCCAGAGGTCTCAAGGCAGTTCACAGAACAAGATCAACATAAAAACCACAATATATATAATCAAAATAAAAACAACAACCCAGAAACACCCCCCCCAAAAAACCCCACATTTTAAAAGGGTATAGGATGTCAATCAGATCAACCAAAAACCTGGTTTAAAAGGAATGTTTTTGCTTGGTGCCTAAAGGTGTATAATGAAGGCGCCAGGCGAACTTCCCTGGGGAGAGCATTCCCCAGATGGGGAGCCACTGCAGAGAAGGCCCCGTTCTTGTGTTGCCACCCTCTGGACCTCTTGAGGAGGAGGCACACGAAGGAGGGCCTCAGAAGATGATCTCAGGGTCCGGGTAGGTTCATATGGAAAGAGGCGGTCCTTGAGGTATTGTAGACATATCCCAGAATGAGACAGACCTTTGGTCTGACCCAGCAGACCTCCTCTTAGGTTGAGCTGGTTTGGGAAGAAGAAGAAGAAGAAGAGGAGGAGGAGGAGGAGGAGGAGGAGGAGCTCACCCCGTGGTGTGGATTCAAACTGCCAAGAAGAAGAAGAAGAGTTTGGATCTGATATCCCGCTTTATCTCTACCTGAAGGAGTCTCAAAGCGGCTAACATTCTCCTTTCCCTTCCTCCCCCACAACAAACACTCTGTGAGATGAGTGGGGCTGAGAGACTTCAGAGAAGTATGACTAGCCCAAGGTCACCCAGCAGCTGCATGTGGAGGAGTGGAGACGCGAACCCGGTTCCCCAGATTACGAGTCTACCGCTCTTAACCACTACACCACACTGGCACACAGGAGTATCCCTCCTACCTTTTGTGTTGCTTTCGCAGGTTCCTTGAGCAGCAGAAGCCTTGGGGAGTGCACAAAAACACTCACCAGTGCAAAGTCTGGTGCGGATGGTGGAATCCGCCCCACCATTTGGCGGATTGGAATGGAACCGACTGATTCTACTCAAGCCTACCTTTCCTGACTTTCCTTTATCGTCCCTCCCAGCCTTTCTCACTCCGCACACACTCCTCGTTATTTGTCTTCCCACTCCCAACCCATTCTTTTCGTTGCGTTCCCTCAGCTTTATGGCCATCTTTTAAATTAGTCCTTCAGGTTGCCTCATCTCTTTCCAAGAGACCATTTCGCCACAACCCCCAAATCATATCTCCCCCCCCCCCCGCTAACCCATTTCTTGTTCTTTTGGCCTCACTGCTTTTCCCTTTTTTACAAAAAACAAAAACAAAACTCATTTCTTCTTTCGTTCAATCTCTTCCTTAATCTTTATTTGGCCAGTGGCTATGGTCCAGGAAGCCCATTTGCGCATCAACAGGAGGAGAGTGTGCACAGCTGGAATCTTTGTCTCTCTTTCAGCACGGTCACTCCCTCCTCACCCCATGGTGCTGTGAACCGTATCTGAACCCCAAAGTTTCAGTAGTGACTTGCAAGCTACACCTGCTGAAATCCCCTCTTCCGCACAACCATCCAAGGGCCAGGAGCCCTGTCCTCTTTTGTTTTTTTTTTAATATAATTTTAATTAAATTTTCTGTTTTGCAATTAAAAATACTCATTTTACATCCTTAAGATATCCATGGCTTCCCTTCTTCTCTTTCCATGGTTCATTTTACGTATCATAACTCCTTGCATATTTTACAAGAACTATACCATTCCGTATTCCATTTTTGCATCCATCAAAACTTGTTTACACTGTTGAATTTAACTTAAGACATCTTAAGGCAGCCCTGTTCAGGGAAGTTTTTAATGTATGACATATTAGTGTATTTTTGGTCTTTGTGGAAGCCGCCCAAGTGGCTAGGGAGACCCAGCCAGATGAGTGGGGTACAAATAATAAATTATTATTATTATTATTAATTCTGCCAGCGTTTTCAGCTGTACACAGTTATTTCCCATATAGTCAATAAACGTTTTCCAATCTTATTTAAACGTATGTCCTTCTTGTTCTCTTATTCTATATGTCAAGTCTGCGAGTTGCGCATATTCTGTCAACTGAAGTTGCCATTCTTCTTTAGTTGGGACCTTATTCGTTTTCCATTTTGGGGTTAACAAAACATTGGTCACAGTTGTAGCATACACCTGGGAATTTCAGTCTGAATTATCCCCAACAGAAAGGACTCTTGTTTTTTTGGGGAAAGTACTTTAAAACATTTTTTTTAATTCATTATGAATCATTTCCCAATACTCTTTTACCTTTTTACAAGTCCACCACATATGAAAGAACGTTTCCTCTCTGTCCTCTTCTGCATCTGGCTTCCAGAGAGGAGGGGCTGTAAAGCTGATTGCTTTCAGACTGTTTTTGTGAACCAATCAAACCTACTTGCCGGAGTCTCCCTGTTCCCCCCACCCAAAGGGTGGGAAGGCAAATAATAACCTCCTCCCCACAGTGCTGCTACAACAGTACTGCTACAACTTCACTGTCCCCCACCCCACTGCATGAGCCCTAAACAACTTAACACTTCAGGATACGGGGCGACAACACTTTGACAACATTGCAGGATTATCATACAATACTCTCTTGTCAGTCCCGCTCCCAACAATACGGGTATTAACAATACAGGGCTACTCTGAGGGCTGATGTGACCCACAGTTTATTAGCCAGAGTGCTAACCCTGCCACCCCCTCCACATACACAAAGATGGAGCTGTGGTCTGAACCACTGAGTCTCTTGGGCTTGCTGATCAGAAGGTCGGCAGTTCGAATCCCCAAGACAGAGTGAGCTCCTGTTGCTCTATCCCAGCTCCTGCCAACCTAGCAGTTCGAAAGCACACCAGTGCAAGTAGATAAATAGGTACTGTTGTAGTGGGAAGGTAAACGGCGTTTCCATGTGCTCTGGTTTCCCTCCTGCTGTCCTGTTGCGCCAGAAGCTGTTTAGTCATGCTGGCCACGTGACCCGGAAAGCTTTCTGTGGACAAATGCCAGCTCCCTCAGCCTGAAAGCGAGGTGAGCACCACACCCCATAGCCGCCTTTGACTGGCCTTAACCATCCAGGGTGTCCTTTTCTTTTTTACCTTTAGGAGTATAATAATATTTTCCTGCTAGAGTAAATTGTTAAGTGCTTATTTAAACAGAAGAGGGACTATTTTGCCCCAGCATGCAAAGAAGACATGAGTTTTTATTTTTAAAAAACATGAATCTGGTTTTGTTGCTGTTTTGGATATCGGACACAGCACACTCACAGCTAGGTGAAAGTGGTTTAGTCCTGCTGGCCACATCACCTGGAAAGTTGTCTGTGGACAAACGCCGGCTCCCTCGGCCTGAAAGAGAGATGAGCACTGTAGCCCCATAGTCGCCTTTGACAGGACTTAACCATCCAGGGGTCCTTTGCCTGTGCATGCATTACAAATTTTGTGATTCCTTGCATTGGGGAAATGGTTATTTCTTTAATATCTGCAATTGTTGCTTAGCACAGACCCTTTGAATCATTTTGCAAAGCTATAAGGTAAAGGTGAAGGCGCCCCTAACCATCAGGTCCAGTCATGACTGACTCTGGGGTTGAAGCGCTCCTCTCGCTTTATTGGCCGAAGGAGCCAGCGTACAGCTTCCGGGTCATGTGGCCAGCATGACTAAGCCGCTTCTGGCGAACCAGAGCAGCGCACTGAAATGCCGTTTACCTTCCCGCCAGAGCGGTACCTATATATCTACTTGCACTTTGATGTGCTTTCGAACTGCTAGGTTGGAAGGAGCAGGGACCGAGCAACAGGAGCTCACCCCGTCGTGGGGATTCGAACCGCCAACCTTCTGATCGGTAAGTCCTAGGCTCTGTGGTTTAACCCACAGCGCCACCCGCGTCCCTTTTGCAAAGCTATAGCACTAAACAAAAAACGCAGAAGAAATGAGAATGCTTCTGCCTGTCATTGAGACTAAACTCTCTGCTTTAGTGGCGTTCCTTTGAGAAGAAAAGCACAGGCATGGCACTGGGCTCTCTTCATAAGGATCTTTCCCTCTTTGGATTCATTTCCCCCATCACACATTCTCTGCACAAGCTCCTTTTGTTCGCTGCTGTGAGCCAATCTCCATGTTGTAGCAGCTGCCCAGATGTTCCCTATCAAACTCCAAGCCATGCCAGCAAACTTTGGCACACATGAAAGTACACTGAGTAATGGGCCTCCACAAATACCGGTTTCCCCTTCTGATTTCTGCAAGTATTTTAAAATGCTAATGGGTTCCACTCAGCTGCAATCTAAAGGAGGCTGTAGGGCTGGCCTGTGCGAGTGTCCAGCAAATTAACAGTTAAAAGTCTATGAGGCGCCTCGGTGCTGCGCTGCCCTGAGGGTCTCGTCTGGAGTTCTCTAACCTTGAACCGCTGTCACTCGCTTTCCTGCTAATAGCTTTCCAGCAGTGGAGCCAAAATCTGGGCATTTTTGTTTTCCAAAATGAAACTGAGCTCAGCTTGCAGAGCAAACGCCATGTTTCCCCCCCTCCGCAGAGGCTGCAGAGGATGCTGTTGACATGGTCTCAGAGCTGCCTCAGTTCCTTCGACATCCTGCATGCCACCCTTTAAAGGTAAAGGGACCCCTGACCATTAGGTCCAGTCGTGGCCGACTCGGGGGTTGCGGCGCTCATGACCTTTAAAGCCCTAAACGGCCTCGGTCCTGTATACCTGAAGGAGCATCTCCACCCCCATCGTTCAGCCCAGACACTGAGATCCAGCACCGAGGGCCTTCTGGTGTTTCCCTCATTGCGAGAAGTGAGGTTACAGGGAACCAGGCAGAGGGCCTTCTCGGTAGTGGCACTCGCCCTGTGGAACGCCCTCCCTTCAGATGTGAAGGAAATAAGCAGCTATCTTCTTTTTAAAAGACATCTGAAGGCAGCCCTGTTTAGGGGAGTTTTTAATATTTAATGCTGTATTGTTTTTAACACTTGATTGGAAGCCGCCCAGAGTGGCTGGGGAAACTCAGCCAGATGGGCGGGGTATAAAATAATAATAATAATAATAATAATAATAATAATAATAATAATAATAATATCTCGTTTTATTGGCCGAGGGAGCCGGCATACAGCTTCCGGGTCATGTGGCCAGCATGACTAAGCCACTTCTGGAGAACCAGAGCAGCGCACGGAAATGCCGTTTACCTTCCCGCCGGAGCGGTACCTATTGATGTACTTGCACTGGTGTGCTTTCGAACTGCTAGGTTGGCAGGAGCTGGGACCGAGCAACGGGAGCTCACCCCGTCACGGGGATTCCTATTTGTGGGGCATAGGAATTTGTTCATTTCCCCCCCAAAAAGATATAGTCTGGCCCCCACAAGGTTTGAGGGACAGTGGACTGGCCCCCTGCTGAAAAAGTTTGCTGACCCCTGTTTTAAACCAACCTCTTTGGCTTTTCTACAGTCTTTCTTTTATTTTCTAGTGAGCCTCAGTTAAACACAATGAGAAGTTTAATATTTGTTTTATATAGTCATACCTCCGGTTGAAGTAGCTTCGGGATAAGTATTTTCAGGTTGTGCGCTGCGGCGACCTGGAAGTAACTGAGTGTGTTACTTCCGGGTTTCACCACTCGCGCATGCGCAGACGGTCAAAATGACATCACGTACATGCGCAGAAGCAGCGAATCGCGACCCGCAGACGTGGGTTGCGTTCGCTTCTGGATGCGAACGGGGCTCCAGAACAGATCCAGAGCTTTAAATGATCTAACATTGGTGGTGGCAGTGATTTGCACTGTTTTTCAGGTCATCCCTGACTTCCCAGTTTCCCACTGTACCGGGATTTGCTGGCTGTGTGTGTACCTTTGAATCCATGAGGGGACTGCAAGCTACAAACTGGGAAATTAGGGGTCAACTACTTCAGCCAGCTTGGTGCACCAATGTCTCGTAATCCCTGCTAGCCTGTGCCGCAGATCAGCAACTGCTTTTATGATAACATGGCATAATCCTCATATTTGAAGTTCAAAGTCAGCTTGAGATCTGCACCCATTTCACACTGCAAAACTTTTGGGACAAGCA